GCTAGGTTCCCCGGTAGGTTTTGCTCAACGGGAGCTAAATTAGCCCCAGCCCTGTCACCAAGTACAGTAGGGGCATTGTCAATAGATAGCTTTAAACAATGTCTAGAGCTAGAAGTTCAAGGGTTAGGTGTAACAAGTCGATCGGTGTAATATAGCCAGCTGCCGCCGCGCCGCGTGCCTGCGAAGCTGGTGTGTTATGCCGAAAGGCGGTTATACTGGCTATACAGATACAGATCACGATTGGTGGGGATGGACAGGGGGAAACTATTGGAGCCCAGAAGACAGCCTGCCCAAACCACGATAGACTGGATACCAGGCTAACTGATACCGGGTCTATAGGACCTACCATTGACGGGAAGCGACTTATACACGGATAATCAGGGTCTATCGACATGGTCTGTGGACTGGGCAAACCCCGGCTGTCATCGGTTAACGTCCATTTAGTCTCCACAAGACTAACAGAACGGGATAAAAAACAGGGAAATTTACCATTAGAGGGAGAACAATTGGTCAGGGAAGTTTGATCACCGTAAAGTTCATTTGAGAGAAAAATGAAACCCTAATGGTTGATCCACTCCCCTGGCCAGTCAGGCCCTATTTTCGCCGAATTCTACTGCCTTAAGCCCCTCGGGAAGGCCTGCTGGAGGCTACTATTATTGCCGAATTGTACGCCCTAACTCCCTTAGGGAGCTCGAGGCCTGGTGGAGGCTACTATTTTTATTAAATTCTACCATCCTAACCCATTTAGAAAGACCTGGCTAAGAAGAGGCTACCATCGGGTCACGATTCAACCGTTTATATTTCAAGGCTGGGGCATGCCCCGACTTACTCCGGTGAATACCGAGACTTGCCAGTCTCTTGAGTATTGATATTTCGTACGGGTTTAACATTGCCGAAGGCGGATATTGAGAATATGATTGTATAGCGACCTTAAGGAGAGATATGTGATACCCGGTTTTCATAACTGCCAGTTAACAGGACCAATGATGAATGGCATCCGAAGAAGTCTTGCCTGTGAATGCGCGCAGCGTGTTGAAGAAAACTACTAGTACTTGTATGGCAACAGGGCACTGTACGAAGTCACTGTTGTATCCAAAATTGTGCCGTACTTCTAAGCCCGGACAAGTATGGGGTAGCATTAAGTACGGTTCTGGATAGTCTCTCAAGAACGTAGATTTGCACTGCACGATTCTGGATACGCTTGGACTATCCAGCCCTGAGTATGGTCTTAGATAAGGTATGGTTCTGGATACGTGTGGGCGTATTCAGAGCCGTGTCTAAGCATATTTCTGGATAAAGCACGATTCTGGATACACGTGGGCTATCCAGAACCGTGCCTGAGCATGTTTATGGATGAAGAGCAGTTCTGGATACGCGTGGACTATCCAGAACCCTGCCAGAGCATGTGTCTGGATAAAGCACGTTTCTGGCTACAGCAGCCACTCTCTTGTATCCGAGCTTCACCCCGTTTGCCCCCAGAGTTTTCCGTCTCCTTTTTATCCCAGAAGTTGTCCAAGGTTACGCTTGGCAGTCAGAACCGACCTTGTGCGAAGTGAACGACTCCGTGCGTGTAATGGGAAAACTTGGGGAAGACTTTCGGATCATAACCGCCGCCACAAGACAGCTTGGCGCTCCTGAATTTTTCATGGGCCTTCCTCTCTTCGCCGCTACTCTAGATGGCGGGGTGTAATTAGGGATATGATGCATTTTATGAGTCGGGATGAATTATTGATGAAGGTAATCAGGAGTAAATGAACGAAATGCGAGTCGCTGACAAATGACGGAAGACTTGGATGGAGGAAGAGCTCAACTTTGTGAAGTGTTGTCAAAAACGTTTCAGGCAACATTACGGTTATTGTCAGTGATATCTCATGTGTGGCATGCTACTTTGTTGGAGGACGATACAAAATGAAAAATATCTCCATGATATGATTGAATTAAGCGTTTGTCTGGCGATCCAAAGAAGCAATCACCGAGAACTAATAACCACGAGATCAACAGGTTTTTGTGTTTACCTTCGCAAAAGGAAAACATTTTGTTTTCGCTCATTTTTTTCTTCGTCTCTAAAAGAATAAGGTCAATGACCTGGAACAGACGGTTGTCACCATGGTAACTGGTGTTGTAGCAGGCACACTGTGGCGTTGGATTACTTAAATTATGTAGCAAGTGCCAGGGTAATTGGAAGGGCTGGTTGTGAGAATTAATAGAGCAGTAGTTTGTTAGGATAGATCATGCGAGGGTTAACAATTGCTTTTAAAAAGTCGGATTTACCGTAATGGTAGTAAACGCCTACTTACCTACTTTCTTATCCTCCTTGCGAGACGGGTAATGTTTACCGGTAATTATAAATGAAGATACCCGGCATTTACTACAATTTGTAAATCCAACTTTCCGTGAAGTAAAGAGATCTACTTTTCTCAGTGAGACTAAAGTTCTGTCTGCCCGCCTTGTAACTTTGTAAGAAAACTCCAGAGAGTCAGCCATGCCCTTGAGCGCCCGTCTCGGTTTGTCCTAATGGGCGGAAAGCGTAACCGGATTTAACCGAGAGCGTGGTCTGACGTCACAGGTGCGTCACTGATTCCCGTGATTCGCACCGTGAAGCGGCGGTTAGAGGGAAGTACGTGGGGAATAGAGAGCTGGGAAAAATACTGGAAGTGAGCACGGTTGAGTTCTGGGTTTCATCCTGGGTTTAGCTTATTCCGAATATGTTGTCTGCATTTTAGCTCACATTCAATGTGTCTAATTATTCCTCTTGGAGATCAATTGGTCATGTTTTCGTGTACAATTGAGATTGAGTTTGGGTTTATAGTCGATAAAGAGCTGGAAAAACACTGGAAGTGAGCGCGTATAGGAAGGTTCTTTATTCAACAGCCAGTGGGTTTTTACATCCAACGTCTCAGTGACGGTCTGTCACCTTCTTCGGGGCAACAATGACTGGTTCGTTAAAACTCCATGCCACTGGTTGTTGAATGAAGAACCATCTCTTCCCAACCTGATGGAATTATCTATATAGTCACGAATATCATTCACGGTTTTGCTTCGGGTTTTATCCTGGGTTTAGATTTTAATTCTACTCGCATCATGAATCCTGAAGATGTTGTGTTTTTTTCACATTCAATGAATCTAATTATTTCTTAAGATCTCCCTTTTTTGAGATCAATTCAGCATGTTTTTATGTACGGTGGGTTTTTACATAAGACGTTTGGGTGACAGTCTGTCACCTTCGTCAGGACAACAAGAACTGGTTCTGATTCGTTAAAAACCATCGTTGAATGAGGAACCTTGAAGTTCTCTTTCCGGCCTGACTGAATTCTTCACGGATACAACTCAGCACGGTTTTGCTTCGGCTGTCATCCTGGTTTTAGCTTTAAATTTTACACCTGTCTGATGAACCCTGAAGATGGTTGTGTTCACATCCAATGTATCTAATAATTTCTTAGGATCTTCCTCTTCAACATCGACTGAGCTTGTATGGTTTAGGTTGGGTTTAGCTTCGAATTTTACTCACATAATCAGTTCCGAAGATGCCTTTAATTACTTCTTGGGGCCTTACTCTTCAAGATCAATAGTTATCCATAAAGTTTTGAAATATTTAGAGAAACTTAATTTAGCCGGTGAGGAATCCTTATGCAAATACAGTTCTTACATCGCCCTTGGTAGTCATTGTTGACTTATGAATAATAAATAAAACCTGACATCAGTATTAACCATGAAGGCACAGATGTTACAAACGTTTAAAGACAAGCAAAGTGTTCACGGATCATTAAGAAAGTCGTATTATGACATCCAGTCTGGTAAAAACAATTAAGACTGTCAACGTGTTAATGATGGAAGGCAAAGTCTGTCTTAACGCGTCCAACCAAAGTAATTATCAATTATGTACCAGTGCAGGAGCTGTAATTGTTTAAATCAAACTGTCGGGAAAGTGAAGTCGTAATGCGTTTTTAGATAGCGGATGACTGAAGCTGCATATTTGATGTGGGGTAGGTCTAATGGAGACATATAAGTTATGGCAAATTCTTTTATGTACTGTGTTCTCACTATATTGTTTCATGTGTTCATTGCTGAATTGTTGTTTTAAGGGAGGCATTTCTTAAACTTTTAAAACGTCTCTATTGTACGTGTAAGGCAAAGAAACGCAGCTGAAGGAAGGAGTATATAGTTGACTCCTGCCTACATAATAGTTAGCGTTAAAGCTTTATTTTCCACAAAATGTTGCTCCATCGTGGGTAAAAAGCAGTCTCGCGCCTAGGTGGAATGACTGTGATTAAAAAGTCTTCTAATGGCATTTTCCACAGAAACATCCACATCGTTGCCAGACGTGAGTCTGACGCTTTGTGTTGTACAGAGTGACTGTGATTAAAAACCGTGTATGTAAGATTAAACATGAGCCTTGCAAGAAAAACAGCTGAAGGAAGGATATGGCTGACTCCTGCCTACATAATAGTTAGCGTTAAAGCTTGATTTTCCACAAAATGTTGCTCTATCGTGGTAAAAAGCGAGCCTGGCGCCTGGTGCTGTGTTAGGCGGAAGGACTGTGATTAAAAACTCTTCTAACATTAGGCTTGCGACATGGCGAACACTTCTAACGCCTGCCTCCATTGAGTCCTCAGCCTGATGCATCATCTGTGAAAAGTCGACACAAAAGACCGGCGGACCCTTTTCCATCACCGTCTGCTTAGCGGAGCGTTCTGCGGGAATGTTATCTTTTCTCGCGCGTTGACTTACGCAAATGCCCGCGCAGTCAATTTTAGCGGCGGAATGGTTCCGTCGTGCCTCCCAACCCCAAGACGACCTTTGTCTTCTTACAGACACGGATGGCTGGCATCATCAATCTTACTGAGGCGTCGGTGCAGTTTAGTAGTCTCCAAGCAGATCTTAGGGTACTGATTTTGTTCCTCAGTCCGAATGCCTTCTCATCATGCAAAGCCGTGCCTCCCTTCGTCCCCGGCAACCCCCGTCCCGCGCAGCTCATTCAAACTCATTAACCGTCGATCCGTCATCCCGGCCGCTACATCTGCATTCCGCCGCGTCACACACACAGAACAAACCGTTCCTGGACCTTTTCTTTCACCGAAAAAAAGGACGGATTCTTTGGCCTTTTGTGCGCTCCTTTTGTGTGAACCCGCAAACCTTGCGATGGCTTCCTGACCTACTAAAGCATTGTGTTTACATGTCCTGTAATCTCCCGGCTAACCAGAAGGGTTTTCTGTTGTTCCCGGCAGTCGAGCAGCGCTGAGGCGGTCCTGCGGCCGGGTGGGGAGTGAGTGAGAGAGAGCGAGCGCGACTTCCTCACGCCAACATGGAGACTGGACTGGAGGACGGCAAACTTGCCGACGGCGTCCTGGCTGCCGACAACAAGGACGGTACAACAACAACCACCACAGCGGTAAACGGGACGGAGAAAAACCACCCTGAGGAAGTGACGGAGGCGGAGAAGAAGGAGGACCTGCCTGACAGAGGGAACTGGACGGGCAAACTGGACTTCATCCTGTCCTGTGTCGGTTTCGCCGTGGGTCTGGGTAACGTGTGGAGGTTCCCGTACCTGTGCTACCAGAACGGAGGAGGTGAGTTCACAAACATCTTCCACATTCACGTTTTGTACTGTAGTTCATTTTGTACCTATTACCAGGTTAAAACTAAGTATTGAAGTGGCAGGGTAAATATTTCATGTCGTGTTCTAAACGGCACAGTAACTATGCTATCAGAACGGCGGAGGTGAGTTCAGAAAAATTCTTCTAGATCCTCGTTTTGTACTGTAGTTTATGTTGTAACGATTCGCAGGTTAAGACTTGAAGGTTAAGATTCGCAGGTTAAGACTAAGCATTGAAGCGGTCAGATAAATACTTTGGGCCGTGTTCTAAACGGCACAGTACATATGCTACCAGAGGGTGAGTACAGTCATACATGTCTTCTACATTCGCGTTTTTGTAGGTAACTTCTACCAGGCTTCGGGAAGCGGCTGGAAAGTGTAGAAAGTGTCAGTGGCATCATAACATGTCAGGGGAGTTGGTCCGCTGAAGAGTGTAGTTTTGGGAGCGGCAAACTGTACTCTTTAGCGGACCAACTCCCCTTGCGGACCAACTCCTGTCTATCTGGCCAATTTCTACTCTTTCCAGCCGCTTCCCGAAGCCTGGTAGAGGCTAGTTTTTTGTACTATACTTCATTTTGTAACAATTACCAGATTAGACCAAGTATAGAAGCGGCAGGATAAATACTTTATGCCGTGTTCTAATAAAACGGCGCAGGAATTCAGGCGGTCGGCCTGAACTCATTTGTATGCAGGACGAGCCCCTGACTTTACCAGAGTGGTGAAAATTGCAGAGCAATCAGTGTTAAAAGCCTCTCATTATACCGTGAGATCGGCGATGCAGTGGACTCGGTACTACTGACTAGCTAGTGTGTCTTCATGCGGCTCTACTCGTGTGTGTGTTCTCACTCTGTCAGCCACAGGGTTAATAATTACCTACGTACAGCTTTTAAGTCTCGGGAAACAACTTCGGAATTCTTAAACTGTTTCAAGGGACATCGTGGTTTTAAATGTAGCTGCCTGTGGCTACAAGAATTTGTAATGACAAACTATTTACTGTCCTTGACTGTACGTGATGTAGAATAATGTACTTCTTTTCTATTTATGCACTTCTGTTGACCTTGAACGACGTCTATGGCTAATTTTAAGAGACTCGAACCGAAAAAAGAGCATCATGGGCTTAATGTATCGCATTCTTTGTTTCATATAATTTTTGTCTTTGATGTCGCTGAAATTAGAACATAATCTGGCCGCCTGGGGCGTTTACTTCATTCTTGAGCAAGCTATGTTACATAAGAACTGACGAAGAGACAGTCATGAATTTTTAATATGGAGGAATGTTGCTACATATTTTCTCTGTAACCACACTCATGTTTCCTTTCCAACCGCGTATTGTACAACCACTAAACCTGGAAGTAAAATGAGGCCAATCCTCAATCATCTACCATTTTTATATTTCTTACCGCGCCGGGACCTGCAAGTAAATGTCACTGAAGAACACTGAAGAATCACCGCAGTTCCCTTTATTGTCAATACGTACGTTTTATTACGCCTGGGATATGAATAAGCAATGTTTCATGTAAAAGTTATTTCTGCCACCTATAATCAAGTTGTCTCGGAAATTACACTCCTGGTTGATGCACCGTCTGTCTCAGTCACTGTGAATTACGGGCTGTGTAGTGGTTAGGCTCACGGCGGGAGATAAAAGGGAATAATTTATCTGATCTGATTTTTCATTGTCAGTACAAGTGCCGAAGCTTACTTGCGGAGAAGATTCGATGGCAGGCAACCTTTGGCTGTAACGCCGCAATATTTCTTTATTAGTTCTCACTAATATTTCTTTACTGTCACACTAATTTGGCAAAAGGTTCATTTTCTAATATAATTGGGAAGGAGACAGGCTTCACGATGCTAGTCGCATCCAATTCTTAAATCACCTTCTATTCTGAACGCTGCGCCATTTCTTGTACACTGAAGAGAGATTCATTCGGCGTGAAGCAGTACTAATGTATACAGAACCGTACTATGTTAAGTTCTATACCTGAATGGGTTAGGTTTGGGTTAGGATTAGGATCAGCTGAGGTTAAGCATATCCAGGAACGTAGGTTTGCCCCAGGCTCGGTTCTGGATACGCGTGGACTAGTACTATCCAGAACCATGTCTACGTATGGGTCTGGATTCAGGTTGTGAAGTTAGTTTGTAAAGGTTCTAGATACAATTGATTGTCGCAAATGACAGACATTTCAAATGAGAACCCCTGCGTATCACCAATGTCAGTCCCAGAAGGGGAAACATGTTTAGCAGGTAGCAGAAGTTGTTATAACTCCGTTAGAATACGGGTGGGCTTTTCAGAACCATGTCTGATAATGGTTCTGGATACAACTAGTATCGTTTGTTCGTAAATTAGTTTGTAACGGTTCTAGATAAAACGAGTATCTTTAGTATGTAAACTTTTATCGCAAATGATTGACATATCTAATGAGAACCCCTGAGTTGCACCAATGACAGTCCCAGAGGGGGGTAAAACTATTTAACAGTGAGCAGATGTAGTTATTACTCCGTAAGAGCACATCTAACACGCCTCTGCATGCGGCTGGCATTTAGACATGACTTCTCCCGCCCAGAGGTCACTGACCCCCGGGAGGAGCTACAGCGGAGAAGGTCAAGAGTCAATAGCGCGGGGTCAAATGTCAGGAATCCGCCAGCGCGTTCTGAATACAGTTGGGAATAATGGCGACTTTGTCGGGGTCTGACTCGTGTGGAACAAGACGGGCGATGTTTTGTGTAGGAAAGGTCGAATGTGGTAACGGCACGGGTTTTCAGAACAGAGAAAACGTGTAAGCACACGTAAAAAGTCGACTTGTAGGTCACCGAAGGAGCTTCATTTCTTTGGCGACGTAAAAGCTGAGTCATTTGTAAACTTTCAGATACGAATCATCACGTGAATGATTACGTCGCAGAACACGACAGAACGTAGTTTAAGATAACATCACGAAGATACAAAGAAAATAAATGACAACTAAACTAAAGCCAAAACTAAAGACACGTCACGTTAAGTAGTGATGTGACATAAGATTTCCCCGTCTCCAATATTGTGCAATAACTGTGAAGAAGCTTCGTGATGATAAGTAACAGCCACCATTGCGAAGCTGGAAGAATTCCAAAATACACCAAAGCGTATTCAAACTTCGCTTTATACAGTTTTTGGTTGGGAACGCTTATTTTAGTTTTGCACGTATTGTAACATTGTTGTAAGCGTGTTGTAGCCATGTTGTAACCACGCTGTAAACATGTTGGAAACGTGTTTGTAGCAACTTTGTAATGTGTTCCATAAATCGCGTTGCAACATTTTGGTAACCGTGTGTAACGATGTTGTAGCCACGTTGTAACGTGTTGTAACAGCATTGTCACAGCGATGTAACCATGCTGTAACCTTGTTGCCCTTTTTCCAGGCGCCTTCCTCATCCCGTACTTCCTGACGCTGTTTTTGGCGGGAATTCCGCTGTTTTTCCTGGAGACCAGTCTGGGTCAGTTCCTCAGCATAGGCGGGCTGGGCGTCTGGAAAATATGCCCGCTCTTCAAAGGTATGTGTGATGTTTTAGCTTTTTTTTACTATTCCAACATTTACTACAAACGTGGCGGCATCACACTCAGGTTTCTGCAACTTGTCGCCACCAACGCAGACAAACGCATGAGCGGACAACGTACACAGACATACTCATTTTCACCTGAGTAAAGTGAGGAAATTCGTGTAGAGTGCCTTTCCCAAGAGCGCAAGATCGGTGGCATGTCAGGATTAGAACTCAGGATCTCTTGGTTTCGAGCCGAACGCTCTGTCGTTACGCCGGCCCCCACAACAATGCGATGTTTTAATTTTGCCCCTATTGTGTCCAGACCCGTGCCTAACTAGTATTATGCCTGATTGGGTTAGAGTTAGGATCAGGCACGGTTCTGAATCCAGAGAACGTAGATTTGCTCTAGGCACGGTTCTGGATACAACACCCCCCCCCCTCTGCCAAAGCGTCGACATCTGAAGGCTTCACGGTTCATCAGATGGCACAAAATACACGAGAACTGTCCTAACCTCACGTCTGAACACTTTTCCAGTTTGAGGATGTAAAAAAGAAGTTGCTCAACCGAGCCTGCTGTTGATCTATACACTGTTGATACAAACACCCCCTCCATGTTAGTGTCAACATCTGAAGGTTTTACCGTGAGTTCATCAGATCACATAGACTACCGTGACGATAAACTGTCTTAACTTCACGACTGAACACTGCTCCGGTTTGAGGATGTACAGAAAATGATCTCGCTGATATTAGATACAACAACGTAACCTACTACATCTTAGTGTCAACATCTGAATGTTTTACGGTTCATCAGATGACATAGACTATAGTTAGTGTGTGGCTCAAACGAGCTCGCTCGCTGATAATTAGATACTGTAACAGCAACCCCCTACATCTTAGTGTCAACATCTGAAGGCTCCACGGTCCATCAGATGACACAGACTACATGAAAACTCAGTCCTAACCCCACGACTAAGCACTGTTCCAGTTGGAGCATGTACAGAAGAAGAGGTGGTGGCTCAAACGAGTCGCTCGCTCGCTGATGATTAGATACAGCAACCCCCTCCGTCTTGGTGTCAACAATCTGAAGGCCTCACGGTCCATCCGATAGACTAGAGTTATAGAGGGTGCACAAATGAAGTGGCTCAAACGAGCTGCCTGGTGACTAGATACAACATTGTTCCCTCTCCGTCTTACTGTCAACATCTAAACGGTTCACGGTCCATCAGAAAACATAGACTAGAGTCAGAGGGTGCACAAATGAAGTGGCTCAAACGAACTGCCTGATGATTCCAGGTAATCCCAGTTTAACCGGCCGACCTCATTATTGCAAGATAAGACAGCATCTCTTGCGTCATGCGGGCCGTTCCGGGGTTATTTCTGAAGGCAGACGTAAATGAAGGGATTAGGGCGGGTTTGGGGGAAGGTTTGTCTCTAATACCCCCGGAGGGTTACACACGTATCTGAGACTAGATTCTCACGGTTCTCACCAGCTGTGTTAATGACGCCGCTGGTCCAAATGTACTGGACTAGAAGAGAATTGCTGCAGGTTTTGCTTTTTAAAACTTTCTTCCACTCATGAATTAATTTCACACAAAAAGTTTGTTTTAACAAATGCCCTGGAGCAATCCTTAAGTCTTTCATGATTACGATAGCTACGAAACCTTGTTTCCAATTACCAAAAGGATTCGTAGCTTTATCCATTAGACAATGAAATGATTCATTCGCCCGACGTTTTGTATCAGAAACTATAAAACAGAAACAAAGTTTGCTCAAACCAACAGCTGTCGGCGAGATATCCCAGCATGCATCATAAAGGTTCCCGGATGTTGACATACGATATGTCCCGGATGTTGACACATGATGTGTCCCGGATGTTGATGTACGATGTTTCCCGGATGTTGATGTACGATGTGTCCCGGATGTTGACACACGATAAGTCTTTCTGCCATAATTTTCTAGGTAGTAATTTGTGATGATTGTTTTAAAAACGACTTTGTTGGAGACGTCTAATTTAATATAATAGTCACAGCAAGAGCTCTTGTAAAAATTCCACCAGCAAATTTCTTCCGAGCGCCGCGACGTGCATTTAAGAGCAGAAATTAGCTTTATTAGCTAATTACAGACCATTTATCCTTCCCAAAACATAATCCCTTGCCAGGCTCCGTTCTACTCAATAAGAGCGGTACGGTACGGAGTAATGAAGGGCCGGTTTGCGCTAATGGCTGAAGATGAGACGGTGGCGCCGCGAAATTGCAACTTTGCAAATCTTCCGTCTGTGATTGATAAAGGCAATATCCTCGCCATGAAATATAAACGAAGGTTTCTTCCTCAATTCGTCACTGTCAAAGGGCGGCGCAATTTGCGGGAAGTTAACGACTGTTTAAGTACTCTGGGATATTAAGAACTGCATGTATGAGTATTAGGGGGTATCAAGCATAATAAACTAGTTCCAGACGAGACATGTGTTATCTAGGGGAGTTTTGTTGTGCCAGTTCTGGTCATGATATGGCTGCTAACTTTCTATGTTCATCTGGTTGTGTTGTAGTGTTTTCAGGGTATTCGGTTGCAAATGTAAATCCATGAAGGTTATGAGTTGCGATGTTTGCGATGTTGCAGTGAAACCTGTACATGTACGGATCACCTGGCCGTTGTAATAATTTTACCATTGACATACTGATCACCTGTCCACATAGACGTAGCGGTCTTCTTGAGTAGTTTTGATTGTATAACTGATGTACCGCACCCCACCCCCAACCCCACCCCACCCCTTAGGTGTTGGCTATGCAGCCGCCGTGGTGTCAACTGTCACAGTACCTGATGTAAACCCATATGTTTATGAGTTGCATTACTTTAGTATGCAACCAGTTTTGGTTGTAACCATATCTGATGCCCCCCCCCCTTAGGTGTTGGCTATGCAGCCGCTGTGGTGTCCTTCTGGCTCAACATCTATTACATCATCATCATCGCATGGACTCTCTACTACCTCTTCAGGTCAGTTATCTGGAATAACGGACTAAATGTCAGCTACGTTATTTACAAATGCACGTTCTTGTTATTCTGATGTTTGGCGTTTGATCATCATCGCATTGACTCTCTACTACCTCTTCAGGTGGGATTTACCAACTAAGCATCAGCTTGATGTTATTTACAAATGCAGGTTAACGTTCTTGTCACTTGACGAGACGTTGGATTTATCAATCGTAGTAAATGCTAGTAAAGTCGGGTAATGTTTACTTTGTACAGGGATTGGCATCATCGTATCTGGTCGTAAAAACTCAAACCTCTGTCAATCGAATGTAAGTAAAATGGGAAAAAATTGTAGTGAAGTATGACATTTTTGTAGTTGTTACAGCATGTTAGAATATAGCATTATGGTAGATGAAATTTGAGCAGTGGATATATTTCACACAGCGTGAATTTGTCTTTCCAGTTCGTTCCAGTCCGTCCTGCCGTGGGAGCACTGTGAGAACGAGTGGAACACGCCCAACTGTTTCACCAACTTCACCATCCTCAGTAACATGACCAAAAACGAGACCGCCAACCTGACAGACTCAACCAGGGAGTTCTGGGAGTGAGTAGTCAGCAGATGTATTCTGTAATCATTTCCTATTGAAGTGTGTCGTATAGGACAATCATGAAGAGTTACTTTCGACTAATTCAACACCCCAGTAAAGGGTCGGTCACATACATCGTACGCCCGCAAAATGAAGGCATTCTTGGAATAGATACTACTTCCTGCAAAAATTAGCTGTCTTGTTACGGCAAAGATTGTTTTTCAACCTTCTCGATCGGCGCCGTTTAGAAAAGGCAACAGAGACACCTGTCTGTCAGAACCATGCTAAGGCATAATTCTGGATATTCCACGCGTATCCAGAACCGTGCCTGGGGCAAGACTATCTAGAACCGTGCCTGATTCCAACTCTAACCCAATCAGGCATAGAAATAGGTATAGGCACGGCTCTGGATACGAAAAATCGACAGTGAAAGCACCCGTAAATGATGTAAACAGCGACATCGTGATTCATTTTCCGTATCTGTAAATGGATACGATAGAGACTACCCTGATCCTAACGATAACCCTGTGTCCATTCAAGCATAGAACTAGACCCTGAGAAATCCCATTTTATCATCCGTAAGCGATGTTTACAGCGACATCGTGATCCATTTAGCATATCTGTCCTCCGGTAAATGAAAAGTCGCGTCCTGTTCCTAAGATAACGCTGAGCCGATCAGTCCCGTCTCGCCTGATGAGCAGCCGTGTCGTTCTTAACTCAGGGCTGGAAATTCATTTTTTTGGAAATTCAATTCAAAGATGCACTGGTGCACCCAACCTATAAAAATTGGTTGCACAACTTTTTTCGGGTCCACCATATAAAACAAAGCCTATTCAAGACCTTACTGAGACCTTCTGAGCATGAATCTAAAAAATTAGACATAGAGTTAACTTCAGAATATTCTACAACAAAGATTTTATTATTCACTCTTAGATGTCAAGAATATCCTGTATACGTCGGTGAAGGTTAGACATGCAGGTAATATAATACGCCAAAAAGCAGTTAAGCTGTGGTGTCTTAGTGTCACTGACGAAAGCTAGTGGATACTACCTGAAACGTCTGACGGTTTCCAAAATCATATCCAGTTGCTTGAGTAATTGCTTTTTGGCGTATCCTGTATACTATTATACATTTAATATCTTTACGTACGAAAATATTTGGATGCACCGGTGCAATGCTCCAATTTTGGATGCCCTAAGAGGTGCACACATGCACCCGGTATTTGTAGCCCGATTACTTCAGCCCCGTCTCGCCTGATGAACCAGCCGTGTCGGTCTTTACTTTACTTAATAGGATTCCTGCCGCTTCAGTGACTGCCTCGCCTCCACGGTGGGGTAATTAAACCTGCATCACGACTTATTACCTCGCAGGGTTTACAGAGTAACGACATGTGAACATAAAAGACAAATCAATTCATGGGGGAATGGGGAGGGGGGTCTAGGTTTCTGTGGGGAAAACTTAACATTGATACTTTTTTTAGTCATCAAAACATAACAAGGACAGTGTGACGCTGCACTCACGTTTATAACTTATATGAACATTTAAACACAAAGTTGACATTCATGTCAGTGCGCCGTAGTCCCACCACCCCAAGACATTAAAAAATGCTAATGCTAACAAAGTTATTTGAAAAATAAGATTACGTGTTAACCTCCTATATCTCATTGGCGGAAACACATCCGCCAATCAGAGCTAGAAGGAGAATTGAGGCCCATTAACACATGTAGTATTTGGACTTCTATATCTAATTGACTGTTAGAAACAGTCAAGCAGAGCTAGAAGCGCTTGGTATCTCCAATGTAAGTCTGAGTAAGTTGCATCGTTTTAAAGTTGTACATAGAGGGTAACAACGTGGAGCCTCTAAGAATATAGTTCTTCTGTGTTTAACTTGGTAGAAGACATAGTTCCCCTTACCTGCGCTACGACAGAAGCTTGTTTTCTGTTCCTCAAGGCGAGGAGTGTCCTGAATTGAGTGACATAGTTCCTGCGTTATGGCAAACCCAAACTATAGATGATGCTGATGCCTTACTTACTCCTATTGCTCATCCATGGGCATAGGCCATGCACTAGTTATACCTACATCACATGCTTTACTGGTCCATCTCTATCAACTGCCCCCATGCAGCCTTCTTCAGCGTCACAAAATGAACTGAGTAACTAGTAAGGGAACTATGTTTAAAGTTCAAACTTTTGGTCCAACACAAAAAGTTCTCTCACCTAGAGCTTTTGATCAGTCACCATTCACTGAACCGCGACGGGGGCCGACATCGTCTACCAGATACCTTTCACCCAGTGTTGACGTCACACTTCAAAGAATCCACGTGACAAGCTTCACTGGGTCAGTCTACTGAGGAAGACCAAAGTGACTGGTCGAAAGATCTAGGTGAGAGAACTTTTTGTGTTGGACCAAAAGTTTTAACTTTCATGATAGTAAGAGAACTGGTAAACACTAGCGCAGTGTTACCTCTTCCTGTGGTATCACAGACCCTTGTGTGTTTCCCCAGACGCGGAGTTCTGCAGATGACTGACGGCCTGCACCAGCCCGGCCAGGTCCGCTGGGAGCTGGCTCTGACTCTGCTGCTCGCCTGGATCATCGTCTACTTCTGCATATGGAAGGGCGTCGGCTGGACGGGGAAGGTAAGGGGCAAACTATAGTGTACTTCTGCATATGGAAGGGCGTCGGCTGGACGGGGAAGGTAAGGGGCAATTGGATTTGATGCCTTTCTTACTTAATGAGGCCTGTTGCCCATCATTAGGTCGCCATCGCTTGTCCCTCCATCGCATGCGGTACTGGCCAACTGATTAGCCAGTTACCCCCATGTAGTCTGTTGCCCTGCATCAAGGTCTGTGTATCTAGAATCATGCTTAGGCATGGTTCTGGCTAGTCCACGCGTATCCAGAACCGTGCCTGGACCTACGTTCTTAGACACGTAGAGACTATCCGGAACGTGCCGGACCCTAACCATAACCCAGTAATGCATAGAACTAGATGGACCCAGCTCTGGCTATGATCCTCTCCCATTGCCGCCTGTAGATCGTGTACTTCATGGCGCTGTTCCTGAGCAACGTTCTGGATAAAGCATGGTTTTGGGTAAAGCATGGTTCTGGATACAAATGTTTGTTAAGTGAATATCCATTCACCCTGTAGGTTGTGTACTTCACGGCGTTGTTCCCGTACTTCGTGCTGTTCATTCTGCTCATCCGCGGCGTCACGCTGCCCGGAGCGTACGACGGCATCATGTTCTACATCACGCCCAAGTTCGAGCGGCTTCTGGACTCTAAGGTACATACATTCTGTTCTTCATTTGGAATCTAAGGTACGTATAGTATGTTCTTCTTGTGGACTCTAAGGTGCGTATAGTCGACATAGATAAAGGCTAGGCATCAATATAGACATCAGTGCAGTGAGATACGAGTAAAAGAAAACATTACTCAAGAAATTGGATAGATTTTGATTGATCGGAAGCGCGTACATGTGCTGTAACCCTGGGCTATAAGAGAAGCCAATACATGAGCATTTTTTTTTCTGTCAGAGTCTCGTCTAAACGTTAGCTAATACATTAAATTCTCCATCACCATCATCGGGTTCCCTTCGTTGGTTTTTATCTGCATAGTTTAATACCATACCATAAAGCCTTTACATGTACTGTAACCCTGGGCTGTGTGTGGATGTGTCAGACGCGCCGAAGTGTGTCCTGACAGGTTTTTCATATCAACTCGGCTCTTTCATCCACCACTGTCACCCCGCGGGCGTTACATATCAACAAGCCGACAGAGCAAATGTTAGAGTGGATCATCTACTTGTCGATGCCATTCGCGCGCTACTGAATCACAATGACAAAAGCTCTAGCTGCCGATGCGTGGCTGGATTGTGTTAAGGCCACACATTTGGGCTTTGTAGAATGTATAGACATCTTGTAAGGATCACATCAACATGTGTACGGGTCAACAGCCAGTTTGTGTTACCATTGCCCGGGGCGATACGTTTCGCTGCCATCGCAACCTCGCAAATTCTTTCTTAGTGACGAAGATCTGGCACATATTTCTCACTTCCGTGACTGGATAACAAGCCAAGAAGGCCATGTATATGTTTAGGGATTATCTCAATTTTTATGCAAGTAAAGGCAAATGTCTGTTCGGCGTACAAAATTAATGTTTAGTTTTAAGTATCTCCAATGTAGTACGTGAGGTGCTTTTAAATGCACAGGGGTTTAGTTTGTGCTGATGCATCTATTTTGATAACACAATACACGACAAAAGGCACAGCCTTCTCTGGGATACGTTTCGGTATAAAGGGAATGCCTCTGCCGCCAGTAAATACTTGCTATGCTAATTTGTGTCTGTAAAACATTAATTGCGATTCTTGTTCTGAAATAACACAATTGAAATGCAACACATGACAAAAGGAAAGACATGATGCCAAATCACTCACGATGTTTCTCTGCTGAAGAATGTAGTCAAACCTGGCAAGGTAGCAAAGACAGTGGCAGTATTTCTCGGCTGTGTAAGAAATGTGGCAAGGTAGCAAAGACAATGAAAACGAAAGACTTGCAAAACCAGTTACATTATTTGACTGCTGTGTGAGGAACGTAGTCAAACCTGGCAAAATGATATCAAAGACAAAAGCAGCATTGCAGCTCCTAATCCTGTATCCTATCCCTCATCTAGAAACATTATGCCAAATCACTCACAGCATTTCTCTGCTGTGTAAAGAACGTAGTCAAACCTGGCATGAAGGTAGCAAAGACAATGGCAGTATTTCAGCTGTTAATCCTGTATAAACTTTCAAACTTTATTGTAAATCAACTTTGTAGTCATCACGACTAAATTGCGCTGACATTTATAAAAGAACAATTCATTTAAAAGATCATCAGCGTTAAAAACGATAAAGCATTATACAGGAATATTAAGATCTGTCCACAGCAACAACAACAACGTAAACACAGGGTTTTGTGGGCATCACATCAATGACAATGTTCTTGGCATAAATTAGTTCTTGTGTCTGTTAGACTTGCTAACAGGGATGTTATCATCTCCCATCTCCTGACATTAAGCGCGCTCATGCGGAACCAAACGAGGCGGCTCCAGGAGAGAAAAACGTTCCTGGTGATGACGTCATTGGCGCGCGCCCAATAAAGGGCTGTAATAACTGGAGATGACAGGGCGGGAAGATGACATTTCCCGCCCTCAGGCCGCGCGGATCTATTCAGGTTCTCTTTGATATGGAACTAACGGATTCGTCTCGGGGCTAACAGGGTCGTGCGTGCGGAATATGGTAAGGACGTGTACCGGGAGAGTTTTTTTCATTCCAACATGTAATCACCAGACGTGGTGACGGCACACTCAAGTTTTTTGAACTTATATTAATGCCGCCACCAACACAGGGGACAAATACATGACAGGACAATACCCATTTACACCTGAGCCTGAAGTGAGGAAAGTCGTGTAAAGTGCCTTTCCCAAGGGCACAAGATCGGTGGCATGGCAGGACTCGGGGACCTCTTGGTTCCGAGTCAAGCACTTACGCCACACGACCCCGGGAGAGTTTATGACATGAGCTCAAGGAACTCTTCTTAAGGAATTATGAAATCTTATATATAGTGATCAGTATTTCTGTTTTTATAGAGTTTGCACTGTTGTGTCTATCGTTAAAAATGCACAGGAAAACTATTACTCAAGCAACTGGATAGATTTTGGCAACTATCAGACGTGTCAAAATCTATCCAGTTGCTTGCGATTGAGAAGCAGTTTTCCTGTGTATCTCATCACCTGGATGTCAAACCTTCATCGACGTATCGTTAAGAATGTGAAAGATTGGTTGATAGTGGCCGATATTTAGACGGCAAAAACTGGAAAATCCTCTACACATATTAAACAGCGCCTTAAAGTCATTCAGGGAAACAGACTCGAGACATAGGAATCTTATAACATCTTCAACACATATCTATGCTACACGGCGTATGCTCCCTAAATCCCACATAATGCACTGAGCTTAGGTCTTCCATACACCTATCTTCAGAAATAGATCGCATCAGAAAACACGTATCACGCTAATCCCACACTAATCTCACGCCAATCTTACACTAATCCCGTCTGTAATCCCGCACAGGTGTGGATCGACGCGAGCACGCAGATCTTCTTCAGCTACGGGATCGGGCTGGGATCGCTGGTCGCCCTGGGCAGCTACAACCAGTACCACAACAACGTCTACAAGTAAGTACAACTCTACTACAACCATGTCACAACAACGTGTACAAGTAAGTACAACTGTACTAAAACCATGTACAACTGTACTACAACCATATCACAACAACGTCTACAAGTAGGTACTACTGCACTACAACCATATCACAACATCTTCAGCAAGTAGGTACAACTGTACTACAAGTATATCACAACAACGTCTACAAGTGGGTCGCTATTGTACTAGCCTGCTCACTAGAACCATGCTCAGACACGGTTATGAATAGTCCACGTGTATCCAGAACAGTGACTGATATTAAGCCTAACCCATTCAGGCTAGATATAGAACTAGATGTACATTATTACCATATTTCTCCACAGGCCGGTTTACGGGTGTTTTACCAGTCCCAGTCATGAGCATACATGTACGTATCTCCTGGAATGTTAGATCTTTTTGGCCAGCCTTTCTAACTATTGCCGTCCTGCAATTAACTGAAACGGCGTAAAAAAAGGCCATGGGCAGGAGGCAGTACTACCAGCACCGTAGACATACCGGGTAGCCTGTGATGGCCTGCCTACCAGGCTACAGTACTCCCAGCACCATAAAGATACCGGGGAGCCTGCGATAGTCTGGCTGCCAGGCTACCCACTACATGCACTGCCCTTTCCCTAACCCAACCGTGCTGAATGGGCCATTGAAATGCACCAAAAGGCCAGCCTGTCCATCAGGTTCCGGCGCTGTGTCTGGCCTTATGAGATAAAGACCAGATCACGACAGGGTGAGGCGTGAGGAAAGCGGCGGTCTGTGCCGCGATCAGTCTGTGTCTGTTCTGCTGACAGGACGGCGTTTGAGAAGTTTGATACAGTACGGGGGTGACTGCCCCGGGAAACACAACGCATGATAAAGATGTGGACGCTTGGCTACACAGTATATCAAGTCAATCTCCAAGCAGATATTTTAGTAGCCAAGAAAGCCTGACTTTATTATTGAAAAGGCGTGCCAGTATTCAATTCAGGCAAGGCAGGTTGATCGGTCCGACTGTTAGAAAGGTAGAAACAGGTCAGTCTTCCCAACCAAGTATACATGTACATGGAAGTAACGTGGGTTCGTAAACTCCCAGGTATGCAAATAAATCTATGTTCTTAGATACGCGACTATCCATAACTGTGCCTGATCCTAACCCTAACCCATTCAGGTATAGAACTACATAGACACGGTAACGTGTTAAAGCCAACTACCCTATTCCCTCTCATGTTGTTACCAGGGACGCGTTGATCGTGTGCACCGTTAACAGTAAGTGTTGGCTGATGTTACAGGGACGCGTTGATCGTGTGCACCGTTAACAGTAAGTGTTGGATGACGTTACAGGGACGCGTTGATCGTGTGCACCGTTAACAGTAAGTGTTGGATGATGTTACAGGGACGCGTTGATCGTGTGCACCGTTAACAGTAATTGTTGGGTGATGTTACAGGGACGCGTTGATCGTGTGCACAGTTAACAGTAAGTGTTGGATGATGTTACAGGGACGCGTTGATCGTGTGCACCGTTAACAGTAAGTGTTGGATGATGTTACAGGGACGCGTTGATCGTGTGCACCGTTAACAGTAAGTGTTGGATGATGTTACAGGGACGCGTTGATCGTGTGCACCGTTAACAGTAAGTGTTGGATGATGTTACAGGGACGCGTTGATCGTGTGCACAGTCAACAGTTGCACCTCGATGTTCGCCGGATTTGTGGTGTTCTCTGTGGTCGGCTTCATGGCGCAGGTGCAGGGCAAGGATGTGGACGACGTGGCGGCATCAGGTAAGGACACTAGAACTATCCAGGCACACATTTTACACACTCAGCTTTCCTCACTCTAACCAGGTGTAAAATAGGTACTCGACTTCCTTTGGGCAGTGGAAAGACAGGGATGGGCCCTGCCTTCCAATACCGTGCCCTAGACACAGTGGATTAACAACCCACTGCCCCTAAGGCCTCAAAAATACTATAAGGAGACTATAAACATGTAGGCACACCTATGGTGAAGGCATTATACACAACTTTCCTCACTCCACCCAGGTGTAAAATGGGTACCTGATTTTGGCAGGGGAGGTAAACGGCAGTTTTTCTTTTTCTTTTTTTTTTATTCCAACATGCAATCACCAGACGCGGTGACGGCACACTCAAGTTTTTTCAACTTATATTAATGCCGCCACCAACACAGGGGACAAATACATGACAGGACAGTCCTCATTTACACCTGAGCTAAGTGAGGAAAGCCGTGTAAAGTGCCTTTCCCAAGGGCACAAGATCGGTGGCATGTCAGGACTCGAACCCGGGACTCTAAGTTCCGAGTCGCGTACACTGCCGCTACGCCACACGACCCCACAAACGGCAGTTGAAGGAGAGGGATGGGCTCCACCTTACAACACCGTACCCTAGACACAGATGATTAACAAAATGCCCCTAGGCCTGAAAAAGGCTATAATTATGGGACTAAATTTACCTAATAAGTATACATTTACATTTACACCACACCACATATCATCTTATCTTATGCCGCATTGTATGCATGTGTCTAGAGAGTTAATCATTTAAAGTTTTCAAGAATAGACTACCTTTTAAAAACATGTTACAAGAGAATCATACAATACCTACTACAGCTGTTCTTTACTTGTCCCTATCCAGGCCCTGGTCTGGCGTTCCTGGCGTACCCCTCGGCTGTGATCCAGCTGCCCATCTCTCCCTTCTGGTCCATCTGCTTCTTCCTCATGCTGTTGATGTTAGGACTGGACAGTCAGGTGCGATGCTGCTCCTTTCATATACTGCAAATGTAAAGGTTAATGTTATTATTAGGACTGGACAGCCAGGTGAGCTTGCTGTTCTTCTCCTATGCTGTACATATAAATGTCAGGGCTAATGTTATCGTTAGGACTGGACAGCAATGTATGCGTGCAGTTCCTCATGCTGTTGATGTTTGGACTGGATAGCCAGGTATGTGTACTGTTCCTCTCCTATGCTGTATGTAAAGGGTTAACGTTATCATTAGGACTGGACAGCAATGTATGTGTACTGTACATACTAGTATTCCTAGCGCTGCTAATGTTTGGGCTGGATATAGACAGGTACGTTAGCTATGCTGCCAGTGTTTGAACTGAGCAGGCAGATTGTTGTTGTATCCAGAAGCGTGCTTTATCCAGAACCATGCCCGGGCACGGTTCTGAATAGTCCACGCGTATCCAGAACCGTGCCCGGGGCAAATCTACGTTCTTCGATACGTGGAGACCCCCCATATGGCCAGAACCGTGCCTGTTACCAACTCACACCCATTCAGGCACAGAACCAGATAGATCTGGATACCATTGTTGTTCTTTTTTTTTTCCAGTTCTGCACACTGGAAGGGTTCATCACGGCCGTGGTTGACGAGTGGCCGCACCTGTTCCGCGGCCGGAAGGAACTTTTCATCGCAGGCGTCAGCTTCATCTCCTACCTCATCGGACTCTCGCAAATCACTCAGGTAACATCTGCAGATGTTGCTCTTGTTCCAGCCTGGTGTCCAGCCTTGTTAGCTGTGGTCCGGATCCGCTCCCAAAGATCCGCTACTTGGGGAGTGCACCAAAGCTATAAAAAGGCTGGACATCAGTGTAGCTCTTGTTGTGTCCAGAAATTAGCAGAATCATGCTACGGCTCGGTTCTGGATAGTTCACCCGTGTCTAGAACCGTGCCTGATCCTTAGCTTGACCCGAACCAGATAGGCAAGGTTCTGAAAAAGACAGGTGTGTTTGGCTTCATCTCATCATAAGGTGTGCACTCTGTACTTGTGATACCGAGATAATTATTCCAACATAGCTCCCCATTAAAAATGTTTTGTACAATTGGCTACGGACATCAAACAACGCCATTGATACTTCTGATTCAAGCGTTGAGTCTTACTTTTACCACATATTTTCCAGGGAGGCATCTACGTGTTCGAGCTCTTCAACTACTACTCCGCCAGCGGCATGAGTCTGCTCTTCCTCATATTCTTCGAGGTTTTCGCGATTGCCTGGGGATACGGTGAGCACACTCGTTACTTCGGCGATGAATGAAATGGTAGTTATGGTACACACAACTATATAATGGTTTATTTTGATGATTCAATATAGGCCCAAAAGCGATCCCAAAAGCGATCTGGTAATGTAGTGTTGCTTTGTAGTTGTAATTGTGTATTGCTCTGTACTTTTATGCTAGTTGTAGTCTAATGAATGCAAGTGTTATGTTATGTGCCTTAATTTGTATTACATTTGTATTACATTGTGTTTTATGAATCCAGGAAGAATAGATTAGATTTGTTGTCTAATCTAATGGATATCTAATAAAACATCAAAACATCAAACATCAATATAGGCAAATATGATTAACCGTCATGTAATTTCCCACACTCGATTTTAATCAATTTGACTTATTCTCGAATATAAAGAAAACAACACAAGATTATGGTCTACTATATATATCTTTTTAATTTGGTAGGACTCCAGCCATATGACCTGTGTCTTGTTATATTTGTCTGACCCCTGACCTGTTGCCTCATGACCTCAATAAAAAGTGGCCAGCTGGCTGATTTGATTATCCCATAAATTTCTTTCTTTCTTTATTGGCAATGACACCAGGTCAAGACACATGTTATCAAGGCAGTGGTGACTAGTATTAGATAACCCACATAATAAACACAAAGACCTAAATAAAAAACAAAATATCATTCCTTACAGCAAGTATACTGTTGTTTCTGCCATTGAAAGCTGATGTGATTTTTCCTGTGCTTCTCTGCAGGCAGTAACCGGTTCTACGACAACATTGAGGACATGATAGGCTACCGCCCCAACCCGTGGTTCAAGATATGCTGGCTCTTCCTCACCCCCGCCGTCTGTTTGGTACGGTCCAACATCTTCGTCTTGTACAGCTCTTGTTGTCTTTACTTCCCGGTACGGAAGTATTGTTTTGAGTGGCTGAGCTTTGAGGTCGTGTGTCGGTATGTCTGGATATATTAGGTGGACAGCACGTGGATGGGGGAGATTTACAGGCAGAATGGGCAAAGAGGGCAAAAGGTCAAACGTGCAAACACAGGAAATCGCTCCGTTTGGAATCAAACAGGAATTCAGGAAGGAAATGATTGCATGAGGGAAGCCTCCGATTTCTTCGTAGTAAAGATGCTGGTGACGACTGGTTGCAACCAAAGACATATATGTTCCATAACGGCATGTTGCTTCGCTCAACGACTTGAGGGAGGGGAGAGGGAGGGGTGAGATGAAGGAAGGCCGAGGATTGCATCTAGGACCCTCTACTACTTTCCGGAAGTCTAAAATCTCTTATTCCTGTTCGCTTGGCATTGGCAAGCAAAGTGCATGAAATATTCCCCCATCAACTGTTTTAAAAAAGCTCCACAGCTTAATTGATTATAATTTCTTTTTTCCATTGCTGTCCGCAGTTCACCTTCTTCTTCAGCCTAGTGCAGTACAAGCGGCTGAAGTACGTGGACTACCTGTACCCTGTGTGGGGGGAGGTGATCGGCTGGTTCCTGGGGCTGTCCTCCATGCTGGTCATCCCCGGGTACGCCATCTACAAGCTCGCAGTGACGCCTGGCACGCTCAGAGAGGTGAGACTTGTACGACTGGTACCGTATCCAGAACTGTGCCTCTAAATGTCAATGGGATAGGGCTTGGGTCAGGCACGGTTCTGGATAATTTTTATCTTGTCCAGAGCCTTGACTATCCGGTTTTAGGCCTGAATGTATCATGAACGGTTCTGGGTAGTTTCTGCGTATCCGAGAATGCAGATTTGCCCCGGGCATGGTTGTGGACAGCGTGAACTATCCAGAAACGTGCCTGAGCATGGCTCTGCTTAAATCTTGGTTCTAGATACAATACCTAGCAAGCCAGAAGTTTAAATAAAAGACCAGAACCTCCACATACATAAATAATTCTCGGCGTTACCATGTTCTTCTCTCTTTCCAATTGCAACTGAAACAATCAGTCTTGTATCCTTTGATGAAGCCTGACAAGTACTACAACGGTGCTGTCAGATTGCGTCGTATTCACGGCAGTATTTTTCTTCGCATCACCCCCCCCCCCAGCGGTTCTGGGCCACAGTGCGCCCTAACTTGGACGGCGTGCTCCCGCGCAGCGCCACGGCGGAAGTCCGGTACGGTTCTGGATAGTCCACACGTATCCAGAACCGTACCTTATCCAGAACGCGTGCTTTATCCAGAACCGTGCTTTATCCAGAACCGTACCTGTATCCAGAACGCGTGCTTTATCCAGAACCGTGCTTTATCCAGAACTAACTCCTTCCCGTATTTCCCCCAGCGGTTCTGGGCCACAGTGCGCCCTAACTTGGACGGCGTGCTCCCGCTACGGCGGAGGTTCAGCGTGGTTCTGGATAGCCTCTACGCGTATCGAGAACCGTGCTTTATCCATAACCGTGCTTTATCCAGAACTAACTTCCCATATTTCCCCCCAGCGGTTCTGGGCCACAGTGCGCCCTAACTTGGACGGCGTGCTCCCGCGCAGCGCCACGGCGGAGGTCCGGTACGAGGCCGGAGTGGACGACATCAAGCTGAAGGTTCAGCCGGCCTCCAACCCCGGACAGCCCGCCGGAGACAAGGTTTGTTTATTTGTTTGTTTGTTTGTTTGTTTGCGCAAAAAACTGTTACTCCAGCAACTGGACATAATTTGGTAAACGGTCAGTACGAGGCATCAAGCTAAAGGTTCAGACAGCCTCAAGCCTCGGGGTACCCACTGGAGGCAAGGTTTGTTTGTTTGTTTGTTTGTTTGTTTGTTTGTTTGTTTGTTTGAAATGATACTCATGATGAGGGACATCGTCTCTGGTTTATAGCTGGTATGTTAATAATATGATACCGACCTTTTTCTATTTCAAGGTGGAGCACTGTAGCGCAGTATGACGTTTCTCTCACGTGACCGTGACGTAATCTGACCAAGCTGTGCAACTCTTGGAGGGACGCCAGTCATAGCGACACCTGGCGATTCTTAATGGAGCAGCAGTTAGCCTGGAGGCAGTGAATATGAGAGGCGTACGGAGATGTATGAGGATGGTGTAGAGAAAATGTTAGGGCTGTTCCACTTAAACGTGTTGGAGAAGACTAGAAAGCGAATTAATCTTAAAATGTTAAGAGAAACTAAGGTAAATCGAGGTAGAGACAGGGGAACTTTGTTTGGCCGTTGGAAGCAGAATGATGTAAGCAAACATATGTTTGAAATGAAAAATTTGAGTGGAGCAACCTTGACAATAGGATTATAATGCAATACAAATAGCGTTGTTAGCTGCTTCCCTGTAATACATGTACAGACCGCCAGATGTCGTTTCATGTAAACAGCTCTGTGTATGTACGTCGAACTAAAGGTTGGGAATTCCTCATTTCTGCGACCTCATTGGTGGAAAACGCCATGAACATGTAGGCAACAGTGTGAAGCACATACGATAGACGGTGTAAAGTTTTGTGTTCCGGTGATTTCGTGCTCTGAAGCCGTTTTATAACGGTGATGTCAAAGTGTTGTTGATCTATATCGTGCCCTATATTGTGATAATGTCTCTCTAACACATGCCACTGCGAACGGCACATGTCGGTGGATAGAAACACTGTGCAACTATATAATATACTATTTTGATGTGACAAACTGTGTACTATGTAGATTATATTGTATGGATTTGAACAAAAAAATACAGATGTAGTTTTGTAGCCCGTGTTTTTATGGACAAAGTGATGTCTTGTATCTTGTATGTAACATCCATTGTTGTGTATAGACTATGTAGGATCTATATTTCCACCATAAACTTGTCTTGTAACAAACAATACTGAATGGGGTAGAGAATTGAGAGTGAACCAGCGCGTATTTCAAAGTTGTAGATGGATGGAATATGGCTAAATTATGGCCCATGTAAGATTGAATGTTTGAGCTGTTGGAAGGTAGGTCTATCTTCTGAATGCTTGGAGAAGACAGAAGAGACCAAACCTTTAAAATGATGACGTTGATAGTTGTATCGACTGAGGAAGAAAGCAGAGCACAGTTTTGTCATGAATTGTTGTAGCCAGAACCGTGCTTTATCCAGAACCATACTCAGGCCCGATTCTGGATAGTCCACGCGTATCCAGAACCGTCCCTGAGGCAAATATCCATTCTTGGATACGCGAAGGCTATCCAGAACCGTGCCTGATCCTAACCCTTACCCAATCGGGCATAGACCTAAATAGGCACGGTTCTGTATACGACTATACATATGAAATGTTGTTGATGTAATAAGACAATGAATGTTGAAGAATCAATACGTCGATTCCGAGAGCAAACAGATGGATGCAAATACGTTAAGAAGAATGCACGTTCATTTGTGTGGCTGTTCCGTGCATGTGAGATTTCGTGCTTGTGGCTCTGTTAAAATGTAATTCAATGGGTCTGTAATGTAAATAAACATATTACAAATTTTTAACAAATTAATGTAAATGTAAACTCGATGTTAAGTTTAGGTTGTTATGGTGATACTTTTTGTTAATAACTTTTTATTAATTTTTTTGCTCCCCACAAACGTTTTTTGTTAGAATAGAAACAACCCCACACTCGGAATAATTATCTTCCAATTGTGTTTTTGTACAAGTTAGACATGGTTTTCGTTTGAGTAATTCTTGGTATTATTCCAGAAGGTTAAACACTTTGCTATGTAAATAAGGCGACCTCCCTATACCAGTTGGGGCAGCTAGGATACTGCACATACCTTCCCTGTACAAATACGAGATATTAATATTATATCTGGTGTTTCAAAATTCTTAATAACATGAATGTTTGATCGCAGTGTCTATAATTCGGGTGTACCTCTGTAGGGAATTGAGAAAACGACTGTATTGATGTGTCACATAACGACTAATAAATAAATGAATGTTTTTGTAACTGCTGTCTATATCTTTGTACTTCCAAGAACAGCTTTAAGAATTGTGAGAAATACAGTTTCTGTCCTCTCTGTCACGACCACTGGAAGAGTAGCTCTTCAGTGAGATAAACTAGTTCGAGATCGCTTTCACGGGAATATAAAGGAGTAGATATGTGAGAGTTTGTGAAACTTGTTCGAATTACTACAGGATGTTTCGAGAACCATATATGACTAACCTGGTCATCTGAGGCCAGGAGAGTAAATCACATGCAAGTTGTAAAACCGTTACCGGAACTCTGAGACAAGCGGAATTGGAACCCATGTGTGTATATATAAAGACATTCGGTCGTATAGTTCACGAAACTAAATATCCTTACACGTACATATGTCACACGTACATAGAAAGGTTAGTGTACAGCTATACAAATTTCCTTATTAGATTACCCAGTCTGTAAGAGTGAAACCGATCCATCGTCGTTCCTTAAAAGTCGTAGGATCGGTACACATATCTAACTGACCGTACGGTACGTTCTTACCTATATTTTTATTTCAAAATTTTATGCTGAGGTCACATTTCCAAACCGGGGCCCGGCCGGGCTGCTTCGATTAACGATTAACAATTTTTATCAAGAATATACGCAAATAGTTAATTTTTTCAACTTTTTTGTGCTTTGTTGTCTTGTATACCATATTTTTCGTTTCATAAGACTGCCCGGCCGGGCCCCGGTTTGGAAATGTGACCTCAGAATCAACAGAAAGATACATGGTGGTGGCTCAAGCGAAATATCTTAACATCACCACTGGACATAAGATAATAACAAAAATCTTTAATTGTTTTGTAACAGAGAGGTATTAATGGGATGTGACTCCGGACACGTTCCATGGTACCAGGCTACCCCAGCGCTAACCAGCTCGCGACCCCGCGGGCGAGGAGATCGCGTTTCCCGCGTTAGAGCGCGAGACACTCCGGGAATGTCCATCCAACACCGCCACAATCATCCGTCACTTCCCCGCATAAGGCCACACCGACTTAATCTTATGGATGACATCCGCGCGCGCATTGAATTTCGCCTGTTCTCAAAAAAAAAGATCACGTCCATCGAGCCTGGGTGGACGTGATCTTTTTTTAGTAGCATTTGTGGTTTAGGGTAGCATTTTAATTTTTGGCCGGCCTTTTTTTTTAATTCGCCCGCGCGAACTAGTTTGGGGGTCTTCAGACGATGTCATCCATAGAATTAAGGCGGCGTGGCCTAACAGCACAGAAGAGCCCAGAACGTTGCTGAGATTAGCTGCACACACCGTCAGCAATAAACCCGACAGCACGTCGTCACGGCCGCACCAGAAGAAATACGACCCTGTGACAGCCACTACTACGACTGACAGTGGTTGTGACAAAGCTTTCTCCAGGCTGAACCAGTCAACAAGTACAAATCGTCATCACAGGACTCTGAAAGTCAGTGAAGTCTACTTCTGTCAGTGAAGGAAAAGGTCTCTCCAGGCTGTACCAGTCAACACATACAGACCGACACCATACGTTCTGAAAGCCACTTTTTCTAGGTGCCAGTGGTTAAAGGGAAGGGAAATTTTCTCTACGCTTCACAAGTCAACACGCGATCCGACAACATACGACTCCCTGAAAGCCACAGCTATTGCTGCCAGTGGTTAAAGTGTTGAAGGGAAGCTTTCTCCGCGTTGTACCTGTCAAGTCCGAACCGTCATCATAGTACGGCTCTCTAAAAGCTCCGCGTTGTACCAGTGTGCACGTAAAAGCATCACACGACCCTCGAAAAGTCAGTGAAGGGAGGATTTCTACAGGATTCACCAGTCAACACGTACAAACCGTCACCATACGACTATCTGAAAGCTACTACGACTGCTAGTGTTTGAGGTGAAGGGAAGATTTCTACAAGCTGTACAACTCTACAAACCGTCACCGTACGGCCACTCTTTCAAAGTGACTACTACTGCTGCCACTGAAGGAAAGATTTCGCACCAGCTAACACGTACAAACCGCCAGCATACGACTCTCTGAAAGCCACGGTCTACTACTGCTGTCAGTAGTCGTAGTGAAGGGAAGCTTTATACCCATCGTAGCAATCAACAAGTACGGGCCGGCTCTCTGATATCCCTGAAAGCACTACTTTTGCCAGTGGTTGTAGTGAAGGAAAGATTTCTACACATCGTACCAGCTAACACGTAAGAACATCATCACCATGCCTATGACGGAGCCGATGAACAGGCACAACATCCATGAGCAGCTGCCGCGGAGGGACCGGATGCAGCTGTACAACTTCACGGGGAGAGACGTCGTGCTGTGGGAGAGGAACATCGGGGATGACGGGGACGACATCGGCAAACGGGTCTGGCCATCGGTCAGTACAATACTTCTGACGTTCTGTATCTGTATCTGTATAGCCGGTATAACTGCCCTTGGTTATCAACACTTATTGTACCCAGAACTGTGCCTGTCTAGTTCTATCCCTGTGTCTCGATAGTCTATATTGTACCCAGGACCATGCCTATCTATTTCTGAATGGATTGAGGTTACTGGACATCGACATAAGAGTCGGTCAGTAGACTCTTACTGTATCCAGAATCTATCTAGTTCTATGCCTGAATGAGTTAGGGTTATGGTCAGGCACGGTTCCGGAGAGTCACGGCGCATCCAAGAACGTAGATTTGCACAAGACACGGTTATGGATTCGCGTGGACTCTTCAGCACCATGTCTGAGCATGTTTCTAAATACAAAGCTCTTTTGTGACTATCAATCCCAGTTGGTTTGAAGTGGTTTTGTCGACTCTGCACAGTATACCGACGAAAAGTTAGAACACTAGAATGCAAACTTTTACCGAGCATCTCACTCTGTCCCTAACACGTATCATTTGACCGTTGGGGCACCAGACTAGTCCAAACTAGTCCAAACCAGCTTGTTGACGAGTAGGGACACATGGACATTACGGACTACTCAGCACGTCAACGTCGTACTCGGCATACCAATTAAAAAAACAAGAACGCGCCGGATTTAGAACACCGCTGACATCACAATTACCCCTTGACCCATGTGACCCATAGGAAAGAAGAAAACATCCGCTACCGACAGTTCGTATAACGGCCAAGACGTAGCAACATTTGAAAACCTTGAGTTGCCTATCGCCTGATCTGGCCTTGTCAAGACATACCCTGAGGCAAATGGCCTGCCGCTACTCAGAATAAGAGCTAAACATTGGATAAATAAGTCATCTCCACAGGAATGTGATGAACGTGAATAAGAATCCTGATCGTTTTGCATTTCATAGATGGGGGTAAATTGTAGTGTCGAGGCTTTGGCCTTAGCTTGACACGAATATTGAAAATTACAAAATCTCTGAAACCTGTCTTTAAAGTCATTGGGTGCAGGGTATGTCAGTTGTTTCTGTTGTTTTTAACAGAACATGTTATGTTTGACTTTAAAAACGTCTGGAAGTCAATGTTTCAATGACCGTCTGTCACCTTCCTCAGGGCAATACTGACTAGTTCTACTTTGCCCTGAGGAAGTTGACAAACGTCGGCTTGTAAAATCCTTGGTTCTGAATAAAGAATCTTGTTATACAGTAACTTACCAACCTGATGAAACTATTCGCGGACGTAAAAGCATGCTTACCTCCCTGTCTATTCCTGTACTAACCGAACACTCCCTCTCTTCTCTTGATTTCCTCCATCATGGCCCTGGTATCCTACACGGTAGGCAGTGGACCTTTGCCACTTCCTGCAGAAGGGAGACTTTCCTATGCAAGATAAGAAAGTTCTAGAGTTAGGAGCCGGCATAGGACTGGTCGGTATAGTAGCCAGTCTCCTCGGTAAGTTGTCCTTTTCAAAGTTCCTCTAAACCCATTCACCTAATTTAAGTTGCTTTTTTACATCATTTATCTCAGAACATAGAATTATCACAATTGCTTCTTTCCTTTTTTTCAGTGTGTTGTTAACTACTTTTCTCACTACATTTCTGCAAAACTAGTTCCATCAACATCATGATGACAGCCGACATCACCATCATCACATCACAAACAACTGGCCCATCGTCATACATCATATGTATCACATCGTACCCATCATTAGCGTTTGTGTGGTGTTATTCTACCCAGAACTGTGCCTATCTAGTTCTATGCGTGAATGGGTTAGGGATAGGATGAGGCACAGTTCTGGATAGCTTCCGCGTATCCAAGAACGCAGATTTCCTCAAGGCACGCATCGCATCTGTCCAGAACCGTTGCTGAGCATGGTTCTGGATAAAGCACAGTCCTGGATACGCGCGGACTATCCAGAACCGTACCTGAGCATGGTTCTGGATAAAGCACGGTTCTGGATACAACATGTGGCTGTTATGTTGAATTGTGCCATTGGTAAAGTAACTAACATGATTTTTGGCAACGCCACAGGAGCGGACGTGACGCTGACCGACCTTCCCAACATTGTTGGCAACATGGAGGAGAACGTCCGCGCCAACACGAAGGAAGGATGCAAGTATCCGCCAAAGGTGGGCATCAACTAGCCTCCTTAGCATGCCAAAAACTGGGGGTTTTGGGGGTCTTCAGGGTCTTTGGGAGCTTTTATGTGCTATTTTCTGATTTCATATAGACAACATAGCCGGCCATAGCCAGTAACTGGGCTAATCAGAAAACAGCCAAAGACCACCAAATCCCCAGTTCTATAAGCCTGCTACGGAGGCTAGGCATCAATATATATTCTGGCAAATTAATATGCCATAGGAAAAATGCGTCGATGAAGGGTAGACATCCAAGTAATGAGATACACAAGAAAACTGTTGCTCAAGCAACTGGATAGATTTTGAAATGATAGTAAGACAGCAAAAACGATTTGCCAACACCCATATATGTCCTTTGCCATGATCTGCAAGATTCTCTGGCTCTTCGTGAACCAAACTTCACGATTTGGTAAATAAATTTTCTTCAACTCCATTATTTTTGGTCCAGGTGCGCCCCCTAGTGTGGGGAAGGGACCTGCACAAGATCAAAGGGCCGAAGGAAGGTGTCCACTACGACTACGTCATCGGTACTGACGTCATCTACATAGAGGAAGTGTTCCATGACCTCAGCGTGACCTTGAGGCACTTCTGTGACCCGAGAACCACCGTGCTGCTGGGGTGTCACTTCCGGGTCAAAAGTCGTGACCTCAAGTTCATTGAACTCTTCAAGAAGGACTTTAAGATTGTGAAGGAACACAAAATCCCGGGACAGGGCGTCAACAAGATTCTGTTCGAGGCTAGAATGAAAGGTTTCGATGTGTTAGACGACCCAGCTAAAAATCACTGATCACGGGAATTAATTTTGACTTCATGTAAAAAGGAAAACAAGTCTGAAATTTTATATTTTCACGAATTCTGTATAATATTGTTTTTCGGAAAGTTTACAAAACGTCATACACATTTATCTTGCCCTTATTTGATGTAATAAAAAAGATTAACGGCTCTCGGTGGCAAATGTGCTGATGTTGACACATTGTCGCACCAAATCCGCAGTGTGATTTTGTAGTGTGTTTTAGACAGATCGATCAGCTTGTAAGGCTCGATGGGCATCACAACAACCGTACAGGTAGGCAATTCGTGTAATGTGTTTCGTGTAATAGAGTAAAACCACTACATGTATCTTGAATCATGTATACAGCCACACAGTGGCCATGTCTGTCATGCATGTGAGCATAAGTTCACCGAAAAGACAAGGTCATATTGAACACGTTCCAAGCAAAATAGACCCAGTGGACACACAAGCATGGACACAGTTATCTGGGACGTGGGAATATGTAGATCTTTAGATGGCGGTGACTTGGCCACGCTTGGTGACTTGTTATGCCCCCTAGCGAATGTTGAAAATACTACAGGTCCCTTGACCTTGTGACATCAGTATTTGATAAATAAACAGTCCATGACAACCTTAAGCCCACTGGTATGTCAGTCCAAGGCAACTGGTCCAAGATGTCGGTCAAATATGTTATAGGTTATTGTGGTAGGATATTCATAGGATGTTCAATTTCTTTGAAACCTCAACCTCTTTTAGGCAGAAACAATTGAGAATGGATAAATGTGTACTCAAGGACGGGGGGATTGAATAAGCCTTATATGAAGTCATCAGAAGTGAACCATGGCCATTGGTCATCCTCAACTACAAGGGACGAACAAGAAGAAGACGTCGATATGATTATTGTACCCAGAACCGTGCTTTTCTAATCCTGTATGCCTGCATGGGTTAGGGTTAGGATCAGGCACTGTTCTGGACAGTCACCACGTGTCCTAGAACGTAGATTTGCCTCAGGTTCTGGATACACTTGGACTATCCAGAACAGTGGTTGAGCATAGGTCTCGGAAAATCACATTTCGATCCACTAAGTTCGATCCACCGAGTCAGGAGAAATCCGGTTGAAACCGGTCATCCGACGCTATCGTAGTCAAAACCGTGACAGATTGTCGCAGTGGAGTAAACATTGTAGCGATTATTGTAACAGGTTACAAATAGAACAGCCGTATCGGGTTACCATCCTGTCAGGCGTCCTGAGAAGTTCGCGCCATCTGCACCAAAGTTGCAGTGCGGCGGGGGAACGTTAGCCTGGCAGCCAGGCCATCTTAGGGTCCCCGCTATCTCTTAGCCTGGCATCCAGACCATCTTAGGCTCCTCGGTATCTCTACGGTGCTGGGAGTACCGTAGCCTAGCAGCCAGACCACCGTAGGCTCCTCGGTATCTCTTGGCCTGGCAGCCAGACCACCGTAGGCTCCCCGGTATCTCTACGATGCCGGGAGTACTGTAAGCCTAGTAGCCAGACCACCGCAGGCCCCCCGGTATCTCCTGGGTATCTCTACAGAGTTGGGAGTACTGTCCGTCCCTGTGGAGAACGGTAACCAGGCTAGACCGGGGCCGGTAAAACACCCCTTAGCCGGCCTGTGCAGAACGGTAACCAGGCTATCCTACTGAGCCAGCCTGTGGAGACTGCTGACGAGGCTACGGAAACGCAAGACCGTCTGTGGAGACTGATAGCCAAGCTAGTGAAACGCAAGGCCGCCGTGGAGACTGGTGACGAGGCTAGTGAAACGCAAGGCCGTAGCGGACAGATCAGATTGCGGGAGACAGTCCGGCAAACATGGGTGACCTGCTGGCAGAACTTCTCGCCCAGAACGACAAACCGGTATCGTATGCAGACAGACTGGTGCGTAACTTTGTAACTTATAGTTCAGTTGTACTACAATTGCATACGTTGTACTGCTAGGATTTCATACTTTAATACATGGCATTCATATTGTTTTATTTATGGCATCCTAGGATATGAAAAGAAACAGTCACGCAGGAGACACTTATATTAAGTGTGATATACATAACTGTCACATATTTTCAAACCTGTATTGGATGCACCATTATTAAAACTGACAAAAAGCATGGAGGGAAATCCAAACACTACACCAGTTATACATGAAACGGAATGATTATATGGCATGTAATTTCCGTACCGAGTCAGTGCACTGTGTACACAGGTCAGCACCGCTGATGGACCAGCACGTACGTAAGGCATAGCTGGGATAGCAGATATGTACTGTATCCCCGTCCCAGGGAGGATAACACATCCAATGGACAAGATATACATTGTGCAACACCAGGGCTCGAAATTCATCTTTGGGAATAGGTGCATTTTTTGTGTGCACTATATAAGATAAAATAAGTATAATGTCAGCAAAAACGTAGTTATGTTTCATTTTATAGAGAAAAGTACTATAATAATGTTTTATTATTTTTCTGACTCTTAGATAAGAATAGGTAAGAATATGCTGTATACCATAATACATTTAACAGTTTACATACGTAAACCTACGAAAATATTTGAGTGCACTGGTGCACCCACAGAAGAAAATTGGGCACACAGCTCCAAATTTGGGTGCACATGCACCATGATTTCGAGCCCTGAACACAAAATAGAAATAAAAAGCAGCAATGAAATCTCCAACGTAACCAACACATGATGAGATATAGCAAGACGATACCAGCGGCTGGGGACGAAATGCTGGGTTATGTATAGAACGTTATCTGTGCCACTATCCCTGACGTAGGTTCTACTATCTACTAGCCTTACAGACGCAGTTCAAAATAAACAACAGCCGGGGCCTTGACCCACATCTATTCTCGCCTTCACTGCCAGAGAGTTGTCTTGAGCCAAGATATTTCGCTTGTGTAAACTGAAATTATACGCACCAAAACGCAACGAGTTGGAATTCCAGTTTGGCCACTCTTCATTTGACGGGCATCTCTGAGAGTTCTCCTGTGGTTGACAAAGAAAGAAAGAAAGTAACTTGTGACAAGCCGTATTTTGCTTGTGTAAACTGAAATTATACGCACCAAAACGCATTCGAGTAGAGTCGGCATTCCAGTTTGGCCACTCTTCAATTGATTGACATCACTTGGAGTTCTCCAGTTGTAGTTGGCAACAAAGAAAAATATATCGTTTGACCTCCTGTCCCACTAGGGACTTTTACCAAGACACTAGGTTGAGCTGCTAGGATTGTACTTGGTAAAATATTAGACTAGGCATTGCGCTATCAGAGTTCATTTAGCAGTCATTGACCTCAGTGCATGGTGAGGCAAATACGCCTGACCAACCTTGACTAAAACTTTACATGAAACTTCAATAGAGCTTTAACACTATACGTAATTCGCATCCCCAGTTGGTTCCTGAGATATTTCTGAAACCCGATATGAATAGAATGCCTGTGAAAGAGGTCATGTCCAACCTACATGTTGACAGAAGACGCCCAAGGTCATGTCGTGGTGACTTGTCCAACGCTGCCGCCATTGTTGCACCTGTTCCAAACGCAAACCAAATCTTCAGCACTGACAAGGGCGAAACAGCAAGGCTTCGCCATATACAGAGGATCCAGAAAAATTCCTAAGACTGCATATTAAATGTGTACATGTCAAATTAATATTCATGGGAATGTTATTGGAATGGAATTAACTAAAGTTATGTCTTGAGCGTTTGGATGCGATCGAGGGTCAGAGGTCGTGAACGTTTCTTGCCAACAACACGGTAGGATTAAACAGGTAAGTTGTTGAGAAAACTTGGTCTGCTCCTTTGCTACACCAGAACCGTGCCTATCTAGTTCTATGCCTGAATGGGTTAGGGTTAGGATCAGGCACGGTTCTGGGTAGTCTCTATATTGTGTCCAGAGCTGTGTCTATCTAGATCTAATTCTAGGCCTGAATGGGTTAGGGTTAGGATCAGGCATGGTCCTGGATAGTTTCCGGGGCCAAGAACGTATAGTTGCCCCAGGTAGGTTTCAGGATACGTGTGGACTATCCTGAAGCGTGCCTGGACATTGTCCTGAATAAGCCACGGTTCTGGAAACAACATAATTCTTGTTTTATTTTTTCCCACCTTCCAGGAGCTTTTCCATTGATCTTTTCAATCTGTTGTGCATGGTTAGAGATACGGTTAGGGTTAGCGTTAGGGTTAGGTTATAGTTACAGTTACGGTTATGTGTCCTGTTGGTTGTTCCAGGAGCGGTCCCGGGACATGATGCGGACACGGCGGCGGAGACAGGTGTTCCAGCTACTCGGCAGGGTTAGAGTGAGAGTTACGGTTACGGTTAAGGGTTACGGTCAGAGTTGCGGTTACGGGTTAGGGTTACGATTACGTGTCCTGCTGGTTCTTCCAGGAGCGGGCCCGTGACATGATGCGGACCCGGCGGCGGAGACAGGTGTTTCCCTTAGTGCCCTTAAGCCTTCTTGTTTTATTTTTCCATCTTCCAGAATCGTGCCTTGGTATTCTATGGTTCCGCTACAGCTAATATTTGTCTAAAAGTATTAACAGCAATACTAACGTCGATCCTTACTTACAGGAGCGTGCCCGGGACATGATGCGGACCCGGAGAAGGAGACAGGTGTTCCAGCTACTCGGCAGGGAGATCTCGATCTGGGAGAGCGACGTGGGAGAGGAGACGGACCTGGCCATCGGGAAGCGCCTCTGGCCCGGGGTAACGTAGACACAAGTTTATCTGCATGTATTTCTATGCCTGAATGGCCTAGGGTTAGGATTAGGCACTGTTCTGACCCGGGGTTAAATATCAAGGACCGTGCTGATCTATATACTACAGAGTGCACGTCCTTCTATGGCTATATGGCTTAGTGCTAGGATCAGGCACGGTTCTGGTCTGTACATGTCGTATCCGACCTTATCTACTAGTACCTACAGTAGTTCTATGCCTGGATGGTATAGGGCAAAGTCTGTATACTAGTACTCTACGCGTACCCAGAACCGAACCTGAAGCAAATTGACGTTCTTAGATTCGCGGAAATTATCCAGACCTGTGCACTGTGGTTTTACTTTTAGATGAAGCACGGAACCAGAAACTGTAAAACGATGTGTTTTTGACATCTATTCTGTTTTGTAGTTGAATAATCATAATTAAAAATGCAGTAACACAAAATTGGTCAATTTTGATAGTTTTCCCTAGTATCAGTGAATTCTTTCCATATGTTGATAACCATGTTTCCATGATGCTTATTCGGGGCTTCAATGTACCGTTTCTGACGGTTTCTTTCCCACCAGGGAGTGGCGTTTGCAGAGTTTCTGGAGTCGGAGAATTTCAACATGTCGTTTGAAGACAAGAAAGTGATCGAGCTCGGAGCCGGGACGGGACTCGTGGGGATCGCGCTGAGCTTTCTGGGTACGAAAAATACTAATGAGTTGATATGTACATTACAGTTTGACTCAATACCTAATCTCCAAGCAGATCCTAGGGTATTGGGTGGCGTATATGGACCCTCTATGGCGAATGCATACTGCCTGGCCAGTTTGATACTGTCTTTTTGCCACCCTAGGATCTGCTTGGGGATTACTCAATACCTTCGTTTGTGTTTGCTTGCTTGTGTGCGACTGTTTGTTAACGTGCGTCTTATCTGTGTTATATCTGTGCCTCTCTGTCACTGTTTGTCCGTCTCTATCTCTCTCCTTCTACATGTCTCCTTCTATATGTTCTCCTTCTATATGAGTGTGTGTGTGTTTGTGTGTGTGTGTGTGTGTGTGTGTGTCTGTGTGTGTGTGTGTGTGTGTGTGCGTGCGTGTGTGCGTGCGTGTGTGTGTGTGAGTGTATGTTTGTCTGTGTGTGCGTGCGTGCGTGTGTGTGTGAGTGCGTGTGTGTGTGTGTGTGTGAGTGCATGTTCGTCTCTGTGTGTGTAAGTGTGTGTGTGCGTGCGTGCGTGCGTGCATGACTAATTTGGAGATACCGCTAACCGTTTGTAAACACGACCCATCCCAGCAGTAATAACGGTTGATTTTTATGAAATGTGACCGCCGTAGGGGCTGACGTGACCTTGACTGACCTTCCTGACATCATTTCCTACACGGAAGAGAACGTCCTACTGAACACCGTGGACAACGACACGCCACTGTGTAAATACACCCCGCAGGTGACGCTAATTACGCTAATTACTCTAATTAGGGATGTAGAGAGCGGTACGACACGAAATTTTAATTGAAACATCCTTTACCATTCTTAACATGGCATGCAGTTAAGTACGTAACACAGTCAAATAACAACAAATTACTGGAAATTACTGGAAACTGATTCTAACATCCTTTTCAGTTTAGACACAAAATTAACATCTCTTTACCATTCTAAATATAGAATATATTTAAAATTTTATGCAGTTAAGTATATGCATAACTAACACCGTGAAAACTAATTCTAGGATTCTTTATGGTTTATCTTAATACTATATGACCTATAACACATTTAGAATGCTAGGAATATGCATAAAAATAGATCAATAGAAAAGTTTCGTTGACACTTTGTGTTTTTTATATCGGAAGGCCTTTCCAATCATATACAGGGATTCTCACTCTAACAGTATCGCACACCCTCCCCTAGGTGCGCCCCCTAACGTGGGGCCGGGACCTTGCAGCCTACCCCAGGAACGACCCACGATATGACTACGTCATCGGAATGGAGTGTGTGTACATCGAGCCCGTTTTTGATGACCTCATCGCCACCATTAAACACTTAAGCACCGAGAACACCGTAATTCTGATCGGCTATCACGTCCGGATCAAGAAAAGAGAGGAGAAGTTCAGAAAACTGTTCTTCGAGAACTTCGACGTTCTGGGCGAGTTTGCAGTCAAGGGTCCTGCGTTCACTGTTCTTATGGCTAAAATTCTACCGGGGGAAAACATATCGTGAAGAACTCGTCTTCCTGTATGATATGTAATTCTGTGTCACGCTGTGTGATGTTATGTATTTATGGTGGTATAGGTATAATAATTATGTGCTGCGTATTCATTTTTAGGCAATCCATTGATGTCGATGGAGTGTTGATGTTTGGATCTGTTTTTTTGTTTGATCTGTTTGAGTCTGGTTGATGTTGTCTGATCATGAAAATTAAGTGCTGTCTCTTCCTTAATGTTATTCCTTCGAGACACTATTGAATGATACGTAGTTATGTGTGAGCGTGTTTGTAGTTGTGTATTTACAATTGAATGTACAAGCAAGGGTGCTCCCCCTCTTCCCAAAATTCCAGCAGGTCTCCAAAAATGTTCAAATTTAAGGTTTTCTCTTTGTATTCTCATGAAAATTCGCTGATTTTTTAAGGAGCACCTCTTCCCTAAGAGGAGCTCCCTGTAGTGTTTAATACTAGTAAGAGCGAGAGAAATTGAGAGACGAAAACGAAGAGCACACTCATGAAGTTAAACCCATCTGGCATTCGGCTTGAATACGTGAAGGTATTAGCAAACATATGAGAAGCGGCCCATCCTTGTTCCACATACGGCTCTTTGCCGATGTGCTACTGCGAACGTGCATAGTGGTTAGATTCCCGCCCTTTTCACGAATTCTGTCACGGTCCCAAGAACACGTGTAACCCGATATCCGTATCGTCTGCACAACACCTCTCTCCCAATGCCCATATATGGAGTGGGAGGTGACGATGTTAACTTAGGCTGATACTTCTAGACTTTTCTGATGGTATCAAGTGAAGCAGAACTTGCCAAATGTAGCAGCGATGGGTGGGCTCAAATACTGACTAATGCGAACAGAAATTGTTCAAAAGACTGCTCTATATGGTTAGGTTGTCCTTTATTTTTGAATCCGAACAAGCTTGCTTGTATCAATATTTTTGGACGTAGACATAGCTCCGTCAGAAATATTTGCGTGTGGCCCTGACAACATACGTTGTGTCAATAGTAATTTGATATGGGACGAAGGTTGTCATTGACAAGTTCAAAAATATCGGAACCGGTTTGGTGTGGTTTGTTTCTGCGCACACCGACGTCCTTGTTGACCAGTGCAGTACAGAGCGAAAGCTAGTGACTGACTTTTTGCAAGGAAATCTCTATCTATGTCGTCCTTTGACTGTTTACACACGTTTGAAAACAGTCTCTTATTTTGAGAGCAAGAGGGAACAAGCCTGACAAAAATGTCGTCTGACAAAGCCAGAGCGCGGGAGCTGACAGAAATGTCGTCTGAGAAGGAAAAAGCGCGGGATCTGACAGAAATGTCGTCTGAGACGAAAAAATCGCGGGATCTGACAGAAATGTCGTCTGAGAAGGAAAAAGCGCGGGAACTGACAGAAATATCGTCTGACAAAGCCAGAGCGCGGGAACTGATGCGAAAGAGATGCAGAATGAGACCGTACCATTTCGCGGGGAGGGAGGTCGTCATCTGGGAGAGGGACGTGGGAGAGAACTCGGAGGAGGCCATCGGGAAAAGGATCTGGCCTGGGGTAGGTGGCGAGCCTAGCTTTCGTACGTTCCTTACAAAACTTCGGCCTTCGAATGAAAGATCATTTATCACTTCACATTTAACACTCATGCTCCTGTTCTGAAACGACAGGAGCTACTTGACATATTTGCATCATCCTTGTCCTGACTGGTCTTAGTTTTGTTTCCTTTTGGACTTTCAAAAAAAATTGTCACTTATTTGCATGTCAATCAGTAGTTCGTACTTACACGCCTGCTTTTCTGACTACTCTCCAGTGTCACTGACGAAAAGTAAGTGGATGCAACCTGAAGTGTCTGACCGTTTCCAAAATCATGCCCATGTCAGTTGCTTTAGTGACTGTTGTTTTGGCGTGTCTCATTACCTGAATGTCTAACCTTCATCGACCAACGAATGAAATGTTTACGTTTTTGTTTTGACACTGAACCAGGGAGAAGCGTTTGCGGAGTACCTCGAGTCTGACGAGCTTTCCTTGGAGGACAAAAAAGTCATCGAGTTGGGAGCTGGCACGGGGCTGGTGGGGATAGTGGCCAGCCTGCTAGGTCTGTACTGTGTCCAGAACTGTACGTGTCTAGCTGTAAGAGAGTCCATGATCTGTGCCTATCTAGTTCTATGCCTGAATGGGATAGTTTCCGGGCAAGGTTCTGCATTGTATCTGCGTATCCAAGAACGTAGGTTTGCCCTAGGCACGGTTCTTGATAGTCTCCGCGTATCCAAGAACGTAGATTTGCCTCAGTCACGGTTGTGGATACGCATGGACTACGAACTAGTATTGCCTATATGGCTCCTGATGGAGCACGGTTGGCGCTAGGCGTTTGTTTTGTAGTGAAGACGCTGTCAATCATTGTACGACAGAAAATTAATGGCTATCACAATCTTGATATATCGGTACATTATGTTAAGCAAAATTCACCTGTCTTGTCATCTAAAATACTGTCTTGTCAATCCTTGTCGATGGTGAACCCAAATTGACCAAGTCTCACTCCTTTATGGTCAAGTATACATGTACCGTTATGTATCGAAGACCTTCATGTAGTCATAGTGAGTTAGACATAACGTGTATTAATATGTATGACCCTAAAGCTTAATGCACAGAAAATGTGTTGAAAACGTGTTTCTATGTACTGACCTTGACCGCCGCCATCTTGGTTCAGGCGCTGACGTCACCATCACGGACCTTCCCGACATCCTCCCCTGCACAGCTGAGAACGTGACGTCAAACACGATGGAGGGACAGAGATGCATATGCAAATATCAGCCTAAGGTACGCAATTATTTTTATGAGCTTAAATTTCGAAACAAGGGTTCAAACCTCCGGCCTCCTCAAATTATCTAGAGTTATCGCGAACTTATTGGCACGACCAAAAATCTATTCTGACATACTTTCAACTGACACAGGGCAAAGCGTAACTCGTAACACAAATTTCGTGACCAGGAAAGTAACAAAACATTCTAACATATTTCATCCCGTCCAGGTGCGCCCCCTAACGTGGGGGAAGAACCTTGCAGCGTTCCCGGCGCACGGCGTCCACTACGACTACGTCATCGGCATAGAGGTCCAGTACATTTTTTTTATTAAAACAGCAAAAACATAAAAACACACAAGATGGCGTCGAACTTAAGTTCCATGAAACTTATATTAAAGGCGTCATCTACACAAAATGATTAAACAGAGATATACCGATTACAATCGAAACAAGCTAATTGGGGTTTAGTAAATGAAATTCAACGAGCGCAAGTCCCAACCCCTATCCCTCAGAATCACTGATAGGACACGAGTAGAACAATTGAAGTCGAAAAGATCAATCAGATACAAAACGACCACTTTTGATGATGAAATTCTGAGTAAAGTTTATATAATTGTACAATTAGTCTCAAAACTGCAAAAGGATGATCCGTAAAGTAAAAGATGTTCTAAGGATTATGATAACAGTTAAACTTTACGTGACCAACACAAAGTAAATTTAGGACTTACCCCAAATTTTCGACTGACTCCGTCAGTCTTGTTCTTGTTCTTGTCTACTGCAGCTTCCGGGACGTGACGTCGGAAACACGTGGTTGCAGCAGAGGGTCATACGTCTTAGCTAACCTATGACGCCCCCCCCCCCCGTCTCTGTTTAACTGTTATCATAATGTTATATACCAACACAGATGTTCTAAGGAATTATGAGATAGGGAATTAACGTCCAGAATGTGTCCCACCACAGGTCGTGTACATAGAGGAGGTTTTCGAAGACCTCATCAAAACCATCAAGTACCTGAGCGACAAGGACACAAGGATCCTCATTGGCTACCAGATCAGGGTCAAGGAACGGGACTCCAAGTTCGTCCGACTGTTTAAGGAACAATTCCGCGTCTTGAAGGAGAAGAGCATCATGGGTAATCGGATGAAGTTGTTGGAGGGGAGACTCAGATGACGCAGAATTGTTCAGTTTGATTTGATTTGATTTTATTGAAATTGCAACATCGCAATACATGCGGAACAGAGGCAGCTGTTGCTGGTGTTGTGTCCCGCACATTGAAACGAATACTGGTCAGACAATACTCATTTTCACTTGAGTCTAGTGGGGAAAGTCGTGTAAAGTGCCTTTCCCAAGGCGGGCACAAGATCAGTGGCATGTCAGGACTCGAACCCAGGACCCCTTGATTCCGAGTCGAGCACGCTGCCATTGCGCCACACCCCACAGTTTGAGTCGAAACGAAGAATCCAGCTCAAAATTAAAATTTCCAATCATATATTGATTTCATCAATGCATCTTAAATAATTATAATGTTAAGATTTGATGCATTGATGTTTCAAATTCTACTGCTATTCAGTAAATTTTAATTTTCGAGCTGGATTCTACGTTTTGTCAACGCCATCACTCCAATTCAGCCTGTAATTTGTTACGAATGAATAAATAAACCATTACTACTAAGTTGCTTTGCCTGTTTCTGAATTCTGAGATACCCTCTTGCTTTTTATCCTCTAAAAGAAGAGAAGTCTCTAAGACCTTAAACCGTTTTCTGAAACTTTTGAGACTGTCAATTATCTGGGTAAACCTGAAGCTGATTGGTGGATAAAAGACACACCTACACACGACGTCAACAGTTGCCTAGCAACAAAGTCGACTTACGAAGACAGCCGAGTTCTCACGATGAATCCCGAACGCCGGTCGGCTGGCTCCGAACCTGTCCGACTGGTTCTCTCGACCTTCGTATGGACCTAAGTAATTTGGTAAACGTACCCAATGGACCCAAACAATGGAAACGGGGAGGTTAAAGAAGTGCCATTGAGTTTAAACATTATTAAATCAACATTTCTGTTGGTGTCGGACATTAATGACCGGCCTGTTCTGCCTAAAGAGCCTACATGTGTTAGTCAAAGGGGTAAACAGGAGGGGAGGCCACAGGTCAATGTATTTACCTACTCAGGCAGAAAGCTCTCTTGTCAGAGTGAAATGGGGGGGGGGGGCTAAAGTTCAAGGCCGCACCTTCTTAGGCCGTCCCAAATACTTTCACCTGATCAAATGAGCCAAGCCAAATGTATGCAATTTACCCATAAAACTCCCCAAAGCAGGGATATATTGCGACGTTGTAGTTTTGAAATAAACGCCGGGGAGGGGGGGGGCATCGACTAAATGTAAGCTGAATGTAGAAAACTGAATTTGACAGAGCTTTAGTTGGGCGGCTTGGGCCACGTTTTGCTATTCTCCATCCCCCTAAATGGCCTGCAGCTACTGTGGCCGAGTATGCCGGTCACGCATCGGACTTGTCAGCCACCAGAGGGCGTGCAGCAGGAGAGGCAAGGGCCCCAGAAATCTTCGGACACGAAGCCAAGCCAAGGAGAAGGAGAAGAAGAAACGGCATGGTGAAGTCTAGTTTCAGTTCACGAACTCAAGACAGCCGAGTTCTCACGAGCCAAGCTAAATGTAAGCAATTTACCATCACAAGTTCTCAAAGCAGATATTCACAGAAAAACAACAACGATGCGCCAGTGATGCGTGAAAAATAGATAAAGTTAGATAAAACCGGGTCCAAACGTTGTTGGTACTGCCAAATGCCTGTAGGTTAACAATTAACACGTGAAAGAAGCTTTCGGCAGAACCATTTGAACTATTTGGGTGTTCCATGCAGCACCTTTTGGGATCGTCTAATCTTCAGGACTACTTATTAATTCACGACGTAAGTTCATCTTTGTTGCTAGGTAACTGCTGACGTTGGTTGTAGGTGCGTCTTTTATCAACCAATCAGCTTCAGGTTTACCCAGATAATTGAGACGTCTGAAAAGGTGAAGACCGGAGCCCCGCACTTCTTTGGGCGGCACAGCTGCAGTAGGGGTCCACACCAGAACCACCGACACTTTGAGAGTTAACATCAATCCGTCTCAGCTTCAAATTCATCTTAGTATCCACTCTAACAAGACCAAAGGCAGGTAAGACTGTATCTGATCCTGTTTACTTGCAGCTTCTATGACCTAAAATGTTTCCTGTGCTGATACTTGACACTGTTTGACGAGCCGAAATGCCCCTATATATGGTGTGCCGCAGGACATGAAGGCGGGGCTTCAGCACCCGACGGTTACCTAACAGGTTTCTCAACTGCGGCAAAAAACAGCCCTGGAGCAAAGGCCGTCTGCAGATTTTGCGGGTAATTAGTGTCGTTGTGTAAGCAATGTGTGATCAAGTTAGGAGCAAAAGAAGTCCTGATTATATAAATCCTAAACAGCTATCACCTTTTTCACTCTCCTTTTCACTTTTGTCAACATTGCAAGTAAAATATAAAGAATGGTTTTGATGTCGGATACTCGGGCCCGGTCTTTCTTTTTGAGTAAGGTGGCAAATTTCGAAGGTATCCGGACGTTTACAATTCCGTCCTGAAAAGTATGAAGGAAACTTTGTTACAAGTTGGCGGTGTGTCACGTTAGATATGTCATGTTGGCTGTCTTTATTCCATGGGCTACAAACTGTTGATGTAGATAATGTCAGACATATCATGTAGGATCATGTAGGTTGTTGTTATTGTTTAGGTAGCCATGGACTACAAACTGGCGATGTATTATGTTATATATTTTATGTAGCTTGTTTTTATTTCTTATGTAAGAATGGGCTACAAGTTGGCGATGCTCCTGGGTGTGACCGGCATCCTGATGGTGCAGATGGTGGACCAGGCTTACGGATACTGCGACGGAGTGCTTTCCTCAAGGCGGTGGCAAAGTAAGTATCTCTACCTGTTGTCGAGAGACGTCTTTGTCGTGTTTAGTTGCTAAACAACATGGCGACGAGGTTAATTTCCGTCTCGTACACGTAAACGGTCGATGTCATTTGAAACGGCCGATGCCATATCGCAGAATGGCTAACTTTAAGTGTATCAGCATGGTCCATCCACACCGTGATGTTTCGTGACGTAGAGGTTAGAGTTTTAGAGCTACGCTTTTTGACCCGGATTCGAATCCGAGCTTGTGCATTTTCTTTTTTCACTAATACCTTTTTCATGATCCTCCCTTACATCTGCAATTAGAATGTTGCTTTTGTTATAGTATATGTTACGTTTTGTAGGTTTAAAAACGTTTTGATACGCTTGGATATGACATCGACCATGTCACGCTTGGATATGTCAGCGAAATGGCATCGACCGTTTCAAATGGCATCGACCGTTTACGAGACGGAAAATTGCGGCGACGAGCGACGACGTCTTTATTCATTGGTTATTTATAGTAAGATTTATTGTAAATTCCTGCCCAGAGGCTAATTGCAAATAACATGGATAAAAGAACTGTTAAACATGGCGCAAAAAAAAAAGAATAGCGGCTAATCTACGTGATAAAAGGTAATTGTCTGGAACTATGTCTGAAGGGTTGGCTTCTCTTTTGTAAACCACGGAAGACGTAATGTCTTACCTTTTGTGGGTATTTGGTAGTTAAAAGGAGAATAGCTTTTTTTATATAACTAGTAAATGTTGTTTCTGTGATACAAAAGAACAGCTCAAAATTTTATGCATCTCATGTTCAGGGAATCTGCAGGGAAGACTGCAAACTTGAGTAAGTTGAGATTCACATTATTACGGAAATCATCCTTGGGTGCATGCGGTTTTCTGGAAATCCATTTCTACATTTGCCTCCTTTCAATATCAGTTCGTAAAACGACGTGTATCCTGTAACTTGTTCTGCTATTTTGATTGGGGCTGCTTGGGGCCACGCCACTAGTTTTGTACTTTCTGCTGAGCTCTCTGGGTCTTTGTTGTGCTCAATAACAGTGATTGAACATTCCTGATCTGAATTATTTTCTTACATGTCTATGTCATGTTCTCAAGGGAATTGCAGTTCAAAGAAAGTAAGCTGCTGAAGCGATGTGTGAAGGGTTGTGTATGCTGCAAGGACATGATTGGTAAGCTAGCAGAAATGGTTCTTAACTTATATCTGGACTTTACTTCAGTGCCCATGTGTAGCTTTGTAACATGTTTGTTTGCGTGTCTGTATATGTATTGTCATGTTAATGTGTATTTATATTTACTGTGTACAGAATTGTAAAAATCAGTGTAATTCAGCTTGGTTGACTTGTGAACAGGCTGCAAGGCTGATTTTATTAATAAAACTTGATCTAACTTGATCTAACCTCAACCTTTCAACCTTTGTTCCAACACAAGAAGCAGACTGGCCATCATACGTTTTCGGTCGTCAACCTTCGTCGGATGTGTGATGCACTCGCTGACTCTCCGGAAGTCCGAACTTGATAACTTCGTGAGGGGTGTGAAGGAAGCACTTTACATCAGGGCCTACCAACCCTCTCTGAACTATGACTGTGGAATATTCCGTCATCTCGCCACTTTTGATGCGCTTCTGATGCTAAGATGATTTCGATAAAACAATCAAACAAATGTTTCTGTGAAAGTACACCTTGATCCGGGACAATATTTTAGTGGCATTGCATAAAGGACAAAGCTTTCCTGCTCTATAAACAAGATTTCTGGCAATAAAATAAATGCATGATGAGATATCTTGTCAGTTATTGTTTTGTGTGGATCATGTCACTGAAGTAGCAAGAAGACTGCACAGCATCTGTAGATCAATGATTTATCGTAAGGTTCAGAAAATGATTTTGAGGTCTTGAATACTTCCCTTGTTTAGTGCAGTTTTGGTTCAAGTCGCCATGTGGTACCTACGAATTTATGACAACATTATCGAAAAACGCAACGAAATACATTATACTTTTTCATTGCAAAGTTTCCTTTCTGATCTATTTTTCATTTGCTGCCATCATATCGTGACACACACTGATTAATGTCATCTCACATTCTTGTTGATATTTACGATGCAAATTGACACCCCATTACGGTACAAATGTCCTCCTCCGTCAACTGTACGTCTATATCATGTGTTTTTTTCTACAAATTATGGCTCTCTGAAAAAATACGTTTGTGTTTTTACCCGAACTACAGTCAAGATACTGTACTAGACTCACCCAGAGCATTTTTTAACGAATAATGAATAAAGCATTGGATATTGCTACCGTATTTCACCTGATAGTATAGACAGTCAATCCAATAAAAAACAGAGTGATCAAATTTGAA